AACATAAATAACCCATAACCACCTCTCCAAAATTTCCCTCACGAAACGCATCAAAAATCCCATATTGGGAACGCAACATATACTCGAATATGAATGTGTCCGTTAATTCGGGGCTTGACTCACCGAAAAATGTGAGGGCTTTGGCCTTGAACGCCAAAATAAATTTACAAGAGATGCGAGAGTTGATAACGCTAATTAATTCAGCCGTAAATATTGTCGTGACGAGTGAACATAAAGCGGGAATAGGCGAAAAAGCATGACAAACTTTCAGACAGCAATATTTTTAATTTAAAAAACACAAAAAATGCTAAAAAAACAGCCTTATGCGGGGCTCGAAAAAAAATCCAAAAATTTTTTATTTTTTTTTTTTATTTTTTTATCAAAATCAATTTGGTCCCATAAAAATTATAAATTCCTTGGGCGCTATACACTTCAGACGATTTTAAAATTTACAAAACTTCTAAAAATTGCTAACAAGGAAAGTACTTCTATGGGGTGTGGAGTTACAGGTCGAGATATATATCAAAAAATTCGCAAAAATTTTCTGATTCAGAATATATAAAAATTAGCTGCCTAATTTTGGTCTGATGACATGTTTTTGTCCTCAGAAGTTTTCTCGCGACACCATGCAAGTGTCTTTTTGACCGTGTTTTTAACAATAAAAAATTTTTGTGTTGTGCTAAAATAAATTCTGAGGCTTTGACAAGCCTTAAAGTTTCAAATTGGATTACAACTACACCTTAAAAATAGTTCCAATGTAAAAAACAACGGGTTCTGTGGCAAAAGGAATCAAACCCGTTCCCCTCGGATTCCCAATCCAGCGCTCTAACCACTCGGCCACACCGCTCTCTTCCGAAGGAAGAGACCGAGCGCGCTTTTGCTGCCGCAGATTTTTTTTCTCGAGAAATACATTTATCGATAAAACTCGTAGGTAGACCAAAATTAGGCAGCTATTTTTTTTATATTCTGAATCAGAAAATTTTTGCGAATTTTTTGATATATATCTCGACCTGTAACTCCACACCCCATAGAAGTACTTTCCTTGTAAAAAAAAACGCTTAGCCCGATGCGGGGCTCGAACCCGCGACAGCCAGATTAAGAGTCTGGTGCTCTACCGACTGAGCTAACCGGGCACATTTTCATTTCCCGTTTTATTCTTCGACTTGATGACTTTTGATTGCTAAATAAAACTCCAGATGAATGGTAAAAGAGACGCGTTTGGTTTTATCGACCAGTCGATCTTTAAAATCGACATTCATTCTGCTAGAAGATGAACAAAATTACATTAAAAATCAATGTTTTTATCCATCAAAAAAAATTTTGGGACAATTTTTCGACCGGCCGATTCCTCAAATTTTCGAATCTCACATCAGAAATTAAGTATTTTTGCGTAATTAACCCCCTAAATTTCCTCCGCAAAAATATTGTTTACCCGTCTCTAATATCTCCCTTTCTGCAATTTCCCCCCGCTATAATCGCTAATCCAGGGGAGTAAAAACAAAACAGATTTTTGAAGCGCCCTCTGCCATGCCCTCGGCTTCGCTTTGTTGCGTCGGCGGCGGATGGAGCCGAGAGGATGATGCGAAAAACAACGGCGGGCAAATCTTATTAGTTGACCTGAAGAAGAGAGAAGGCTGAAAAAGGTGAGGATGCTTTGTTCGACAAGTGGATGAGCGATAAATACGCCTTGGAGACGGCTATTTAGTGTGACGGGAAGCTTGTGACGGCATGCGTAAGGGTTTTGAGAGCGGAAATATTGTTTTTACGGTCTAAAAAAGGGTGATTTAGCAACTAAAGAAAAACAATTTCGAGCCAATTTTGTAAAATACGAATTGCAAATTTTCTAATATTAAGTGATCCCACATTAAACAAAGCCTTAAAAATCACCAAAAACAGCCTTTCTCCAAAACATGTTATCCATTCTCATATAAATTATAAATCGGTCCATCTCTCGAGCTAATTGAACAATCCATCAAACCTCATAATTGCCGAGTCAGAAAGTCAAATCACGCCATCAAAAATCGCAGAAATTGGCCCCATTTCGAATCGATCTCAATTTCAATTGATCAAATTTCAAAAAAAAAAGGATTTTTTCAGCCCAAAAGCCTGGCAATAAGGATGATGCGAGCCCAGCTAATAGCCAAAGTCCAGAGAATTTTTGAGCTCACTGAAATTCGAATGTCCATTTAGGGCATTCCGTCCAATTGAGCGGCCCATAAACGGCCGAAAAAACTCATTTGGTCCGTTGTTTCCAAATAAAGAGCGGAGACGTCGGAAATTAGGCAAATTAGACATCCCCGAAAAAGAGGTTATATACCATGCAACGGAATGTGCAAAACGCCTTTTTTCGAACAAAGATTCAAAGAATTGAAAAAAAACGAATCCCGAAAAAAGTTTTCGGAAATTCGTCAAAGTTGGCCAGAACGGCCCCAAAGAATGCCATATAATCTGTCATCCGCCTTTGCAACATGTTTGCATAAAGCGCCGAGGCCAATCGTATTTGTCTTTCTGGTTATTGGAGTCGTTTTTTGAGGGACAATATGTTCTCTTGAATTAGTCGTGGGAACTTCGGGGAATCAAGTAACAGATTCTGAGGATACATGTTGTTATGTGCATAGGTGATGGGAAACGTCAAAGGGCGGAACAGCGAAAAGAGTGAAGAATTGTGTAGGCATATATATTATAGTTGAACGTACATATTGGGGGTTATTTTTGGCGTGTCTTTTTTTCGGGTCGACGAATGCTCAGGCCCGCAGAAAATCGATCGATACGAGGTGTAGGGCAGGTGGAGACCCAAAAAATATTGTAGGAGAAAGCCTAAGAAGCCGAGAAAAGCCGCTACATAATCGGCGGATGCTCGGCGAAAACTTGGCGGAGATTAGACCAAAACTTACTCCAAACGTAGATCCATAAGTTTTATACGGATAATATTGGAATAACCCATGTAAAATCCCTTAAGTTAGGCTAATCGAGGACATGGTTAATCTTATATAGTTTCTATTAACTGAGCCCTCCCCTAGCCTTCGTCATGTACTCAACGACAAATCAAGGCAACCCAAGGTATCGTCGAAAACTGTCGCTGACCCAAAGAGAGTAGCACTATTTTTTGATACGTGCATTGGCTAATAAACATGCAGAATTTGAAGCTAATCGTTTAGTCAAATCGGAAAGGATTTATAGATTCTTGATGGCCAAATGATGACCCTCTAAAAGATCGAGAAATCTGGGAAGGCAAGCAAAAAGAAACTCTACAATTTGAAAAAAAAGAAACTCTACAAAAACTGGCTCGTTCTTATAAATCACACAGTATTCAATTTTTTATCAGCTACAGTCCACAAAATTTAACAAGCCCTCTTCCCCTGTATGGAACAACATCCTGTTCTACACCAGAAGTCGCTCTTAAATAATTCCCTTTATAAAATCATAAAAGTAAGTGGCTCTTGGTTCCGAAAAAAGAAACTGGACCCTTCCTGTAGCTAACAATGAACGTTAAATTTCAAGTGTCTTATTCTTGACTGGAGAAAGTGAGACGAAAGAGGTGAAGATTTCATAATCAAGACGACGAGAAAGGGCTCTTGTTTCTCGTAGATCGTAACAGTATTGCGCCAAGTGGAGACCTTTTGTAGTGGTTGAGGGAATTTTAGGGGATAATAAAAATAGTATATATGGTATATTTTTTTGCCCAAGGATAAATATTAGCTTCATAATATGCCTCTTTTAAGACGGCATGTTTTAAAAAAACAATAGCGTCCGGAGTTTCAGTTCGGTTAGCACAAAATCGATCGGTACAAGATGTAGGAAAATCGGACACACAAAAAAAAGGTCTAGGAGGTGCCTAAGAGGCCTGGAAAAGCCATTGGATGGCCGGCGGACGCTCGGCGAAGGCTCGGCGGCGACTTGGCAAACACTTTCACTGCTGCTGCTAGCATTCGTTTTTTACTTGGCCCTGAGTTATTCTGCTATATAGAAACGACACAGACTTGTTAATACAAAAAACGAAGAACCCATAAATTTTTTCTGGATGATCTTGTTGCAGGGAAGCATGGAAAATCCTTCGAAATAGGTGAGAAGCTACCCTTGGACCTGATCAATCTACTTATTTCTACTAACTAAGCCTTCGCCTGACTTACCTATGCCTTTCACATAGTATCGTCTACCTGAAAAGTCATAGCGCCAAAAAATTGCTCTGATTTGCTCACATAGCTCGTATAGTTAGTTTAAACTAATATCGCCAATTTATTTGCCCAATAAACCCTTCAAAGAACAACCCGAGAACATCGCAATAACAAAAAGAACAAAAAAAAGAGCGATGATATACGATACTTTCCACTTGATATTCAAATTGAACGCGCTTATTCTTGCCAATTTTATAAGACCAACGGGAAAAAACTCTTCCTTTCTCTCTCTTTTCCATGTAGTTAGTTACACAAAAAAATGGTAAAAAGGATTAAATCGGAGGGTATTTAGGCGGGTCATCCGATACGTGAAACCCGGCTAAAACACACACACAAATCTGCATAAATCGCTAAATGTTTCGCAGCCACATTTTTTGTTTAGCGACAGATTGTAGAGGGTCAAAAAGGATGGGGAATTTGAGCAGGTAAGAGGTGGGCTTTCCATAAAGTGCGTATATTTTTAAAAAAACAATTTTTTTTTTATTTTTGAATTTTATTACTTTACAGTACTACTTGAAAAACGTAAAAATCAAAAAAAAATTTATTTTTTTTGAAGTAAGCGCCACCAAAAACCCCTACACCAAGTTTTTCAAAAAAAAAAAAAAAATTTTATTTAGTCTAGGCACTTTATGAAAAGTATAGTATAAAAAATAAAGCTGTTAAAAGATAAAAAATATTTATTAAACACTGTAAATATCAAAAAATCAACCGGAATGATAGTATTAACAACAAAGCTTGAACCATAGTTATTACAATCTTAATTACTAGGTTATGAGTTCTTTTTACAACTACATGGGTTACTGTAATCCTGGCGATTACCGCAATTTACTCCACTTTCTTCGTCTTCTTCTGCGATTTGGCGATGTAGGCGTTGTAGAAGAACTGTGCGAATAGATACAGGTAGCTCAAGTACATAAGACCGCCAAGTCCGAGGACATTCCAGCTGGCTTGACAGTTGGGGATGGTGTCGAAGGTCTTGATGTAGACCAAATGTGAGAAAATGGTGCAGGAGATGACAAATTGGATAATTTGGATTGTCGTGATGAATTTGGCAACCACTCTTGGGGTCTTCCAGTGGAGGGCGCGAACAGCAAAGTAGCTAAAAATAAAAGTTCACGAAAGATTAAAAAAACTTTTTTTTTTTTAATTTTCAATTCGCTTACAAGTACATAACAGTGTGAACGAACAAATTCAAGGCCAATGACCATCTACACCAAGCCTGGGTTTCATTGTAGGTCACCTGAAAAAAAAATTTCAAAAAATTATAAAAATTTCACAAAACATCTTTCTTCGTATAAGATGTCACCTTACGAAATCAACCTACCTGAGCGTAGACAAAGGTGAGAGCATGATGATACCAGTGCATGAAGATGACGGGTCGTTTCCTGAGCACCAAGAACAGCGTGTCTCCGAGTTCCGGGAATTTGCTCATCACAAACATCCATCCCCAGTACCCAGTGCTGGGATCGGTGTAATACTCCAGGTTGTTGCAGTAAGATCCAACAAATCCAGTGGTCTTGATGCTGTAGAACAGCTCTGGGAGCAATTTGTACGCGGCGATTCCGGAGAAAACACTGAATCCAAAGTTCCAGACAGCAAGGATAAGGTCCATCAGATAGTTGTCGAAGGCTTGGCATTTCTCCATGATCTTCTGACCCGCGAAGATTACTAGCAGATAGGCCATTGTGATCTAAAACTTCAACGTTTCTACTCTATATTGAGCAGCAAAACGTATTTAAAACACTTACTTTATACGAGGTTGGGACCCAATGGTGCATAAAAGTCATCGTCCTTTCCAGATTCCAATCGTCGGCGAAGAGAATGTCCGCAACCTCCACTTGACCAGTAATGTTCGCCATCTTTGTTGTTATACTCGGTTGTAAAGTGAAAAATTGAAACCCGGTAACCCTAAAAGTAGAGTCTTGATATATCAAGTATAACTTTGGTTTTATATGTTTTATATACTCAGAATTTTCTCGCGCTACTTCAATTTATTTTACCCCCAAAAATGCATAATAATGACTTATAATTAAAGTGATTCTCTCAAAAAACGAACATCTCCATGCTCAGGAACACCCCATAATTGGCAACTACCTAATATCAACTATGTGTCGATATAGTTGCCTTCAAACCCCCAATCACGCCATTTATTCCGAAAAATTCGAAAAGATAAGGAGCAAAAGGACAGAAATAAGGACCCCTTGGTATCTGATAACAGCAACTGTCCGTTGAAGGCGAAGATTCAGAGGTGAGAGGAAATTAGCCGTTATTAACATGTAAAAACGTGATTTTCAAAGGTGTGTAAAAGAGTGGACAAAGTACAAACCGAAAACGTTTTGGTATTCTTTTTGCAAGAACGAAAGTCTAAAGTTTAACAGCGGAACATAGAGTCGGCGCGGGGCGAAATATCCCCAATATAAGCGAAACACCTATAGAGAATGACCTGATCCAGTGACAAAAAACGTACCATTTTGCATCCGGGAAGGATCAAAAATGTGGCAAAATGCTTCCCCCTCCAAGTGAAAAAACTCCGTTTTGAAAGACTCCTTCACAAAAAGAACGGACGCGCCTTTGAAACCGGAGTTTTTTCACTTGGAGAGGGAAGCATTTTACCACATTTTTGAGTCTTCCCGGATGCAAAATGGTACGTTTTTTGCCACTAGATCAGGTCCCCCACTGTATAAGCGACACAACACCTAATATCTTCGTTTCTCAAAAATTTTTGCAATTCAATATAACATTTTTATCCAAAGATATTACCGCAGACCTGCAAGAGCTATATTTTTAATACCCACCAAAACACCTCGTTAAAAATCCACTGACATCCATACGAATTTCATACACCCTGTTTAATAACCACGCTGCAAAACCTCGACCTTTGAACCCATCCATCCCCAACCGGGGCCCCTCCACGTTCCAAAAACGATCGCAAGCCGATCGACTTTTTCCGTACATCGTGTCTTCCGCAGCCTTCCTGGGAGTCCGAAACTGTCCCTTTCACTCGATTTGCACTTGAAAGTAAAAAAAAGAAACCCGCCATCCCGCTTTTTATGATTTGCGGCAAATAATCAGAAAAAAGGAGAAATCGTGGAAGACATCGGGAAAAGTAAAAACCCGCCAAAAATTTCTGCATCATCCCTGTAGGGTATTTATGACAACAAAATTTTTATACTTTTATGGTTTCGTTGTAAAATACGACGTTATCCATAGAAGGTGGGCTCCGGATAAATATAAATTCGATTTTTTTGGTTATGACGCTCAGACTCGCGTTTTCGACCATAGCAACTTTTTTACTACAGTGGGAGACCTGATCCAGTAGCAAAAAACGTACCATTTTGCATCCAGGGAGTATAAAAAATGTGGCAAAATGCTTCCTTCTCCAAGTGAAAAAACTCCGATTTCAAAAGCCCGCCCGCTCTTTCTGTGAGGGGAAGCCCTTCAAAGCGGTTTTTCACTTGGAGACGGAAGCGTTCTCCCACATTTTTGATGCTTCACGGATGCAAAATGGTACGTTTTTTGCCACTGGATCAGGTCCCCCACTGTAGTAAAAAAGTTGCTATGGTCGAAAACGCGAGTCTGAGCGTCATAACCAAAAAAATCGAATTTGCCCGAGGTCCACCTTATATGGATAACGCCGTATTTTACAATGAACTCATAAAAGTATAAAAATTTCGTTGTCAAAAATATTAATACAGCTATTTGAAAGTCTCAACTTCAGACTTTTGTTTTGCAAATGACCTTTCCAAAAATTACCAGAGACCATTGTGGAAATTTATCGAGAAGTGCGAAGTTTGTAAAAGCAAACTTCATCTTACGTTGTAACATAATTTATAGCGTAGTTTTTTCGGTTTACCAAGGACTTGAAAAATCTTCCGATTACAGCCTTTACTACTTTGGTGGGCAAAGAATAAGGCAAAATACCATCGTAATTTCTGTGCTGAACTTTTTTCAAAAAGTAAGTTGACACTTTGGAGTGTCAAAAAATCTCAAAAGTCGTCAATCCAGTCGAAAATCTTACCGTGAAGTCTCTATAGAAGTAATAAATAGGGTAGGCTAAGCGTTTAGTTACTCTGAATATACAACAAACACCACGCTGGAATGTACAGTAACCCGTTGTCAGTCCAAACTAAGCTCTGACTTTTTGATGGACAAAGCTGACCGAAGACTGTCGCTGACTCCGCCTTTTATACAAGAAAAGGTGGCGTGAACAAAGTTGTGGCCAGTTCGAAACAATTATCATTAACGTTGCTATTTCGGTCGGGCTCAGCTCGACTACAGTGGAAGGGAAGATGTTTGCGGGCGGAGTTTGTAACGATCGAACCATCAGAATGACCTGGCTGCGAACAACATGTTGTTCGGTGCACAAAAAGATACGATATGTTCGTATTTGCAAACAATTCTCAGTTTAAGGGCTTCAGTGAAGTGATCAAGATGCCGAGACTCTGACTAGACTAAATATTATATGAACATAGCAAAATTTTATTTCGCACTTTGTGAGGGATATAGTAAAAAGAGGAGAGTCGACCAGAAAAAAAGTTTTCCGGCTATCGCCAGAAAATCTGGCGGGAATTCGAAAGTATTTGAAAAGTATTCAAAATAATTTGGATGTGAGCCATCACGTTTTTAATTTAAAATGTTTTAAGATAGCTTACAAGCGGTGATTTTTTAAAAAAATTTTTAAAACTTTAGCTTTGAGATGCATAACTTATTTCACTGTATACGCAGCTCACACAGAATTCATCCTGGACATTTCCGGTATTCCCGTATTCTCTACTAATTATTTCAACTCAAGTTGAGCCGTCTAAACCGTCGAAACATCCGATAAACCGATCAAAAATCAGTTCTTTCGGTTACAAAAAGGTTTCAGCGATTTTCAAGGTCCATTTTCCTTATCGAAACGCGTTAAACCATTGAAATTAACTCAACATCGTCTGAAATGTACGCCAGTATGATCACTTATATATTTTACATCAATATTTGTTGTTATAACAACTTCAAAAACCATGTCATTATGACATATTTGCCGCTCAAGTGGTATGAGAGCACCAAAGAACGCCGGTAGTAATTTCAACCGTAAAAACGTGAAAAATCAGACCATCTGAGAGCGACCGCCCCCCGCAAAAGTCAGGCCTTTTGCGGAAAACAGAACGCAAGCAAAAGACATTCACATGCGCCGGCTCGTGCAGGGAACTCTGGTCTTTGCGAGGTCAGCAACACTCAGAAAGGGCATGCTTTTTAGGTTGGATGAACACTGTAAACCAATAGGTTTTTACTCATAATAGCTCACATTTATCTTACTGTCAAATTACAGTTGGGGACCTGATCCAGTGGCAAAAAACGTACCATTCTCCATTCGGGAAGTATCAAAAATGGGGCAAAATGCTTCCCTCTCCAAGTGCAAATACTTCGTTTTGAAAGGCTCCTTCACAAAAAGAGCAAGCGCGCTTTTGAAATTGATTTTTTCACTTGGAGAGGGAGATATTTTGCCACACTTTTGATACTTCCCGTATGCAAAATGGTACGTTTTTTGCCACTGCATCAGGTCCCCATTGTAGAAAGGAGCCATAAATTCAGAACAAATAAAAAAAAAACAAAACAAAACCGAAGTGAAAAAGCACAAACTCAACCACGACCAAAATTATAAGATAACAACCAATCCCTCAATGTTTCAAGTAAAAGTTCAACCAACTATCCGAAGCGCTCAATTCAACTCGATTATTAACCAAAGAATTTATTGATGGAAAACTTGAAGTCCAAACAAAACAGAATAAATAAAGAGTGGCTCACATGGCAATATGCATATTCAAACAGAGAAAATTAAACAATAATAGAGAAATTAAAACCAATTGGCAATCGAAAACATTAGATTCAACGGGGCATAGCCCAAAATTCGGCAATGAAGACAACATAAAGAAAGATTGTGGGTCTGAGGAAGGTTTTTAACTGGGACAACTCGATGAAACGCCTTTTCAAACGAAATGCAGCAGTTTGAATAAGCCCATTTCATTAAAAACAATAGTCAGGAGTCCATTTTCACCTTCCCCAATCCAGAACCAGTTAAAAAATAAGAGATTGAATAAAAAATGTAGAAAAAAACAACGGTTAATATTTGGAACCAACATGAAAAATGTATTGAAACCCAATCTGGCTAGTATTAGCTAGTCCAGACGGAAAATCTGAGGCATTTCCGGGATAACATTAACAGAAAAGAGGGAAATCAACCGATAATAAATTTCAAATCAAAGGAAAAAAGCCTTAAAATGGCCACAAAAAATGAAAGGCATCAATAAGACCAAGAACAACAAAATAAGAGAAAAAATAAGAAACCCGACCTTGTTCTAAGTGTTCAACGCAAGTTGGAGCGATGGAAAGATCCAATGCAGGGGTACTTGCCCTTCTTCGCCGATTCGGAAGTGATGACGACAGCATCGTCCACTTGAGTGAAGTCCACATCTCCTTGCTCCGCGTTATCACCGTTGCGATGGATGAACTGACAGCGCTTTCCGTAACGACAAAAGCCATCGCGCTCAAAGTTCTGGCAGAGAACGGTCTTGTAGTTGGCTGGAACCTGAAACAACCAAAATTAGTTCAGCTTTTCAGTCTCCTTTTCAGGTTGTGAACAAACAGTATCTAAAGTGCATGAAAACAAAAATTAAATTCTTACCTTTCTCAGTCTAAGCTCCGCATAACCATGAGCAAAACGACAATTCCTTCCGTAGTCGCATCTTCCAATCTTCATATACTGGGTACAGAGGACGGTCTTCACCTTGTCATAGAGACGCTGCTCGGCCTTCATTCGTTCACGTTCATCGTCCGTGACACGACAATTCGGAGATGGAGCACGGCCGCTGCTTGAACGAGTGGACGTTGCAGATCCGACTGAAACTTGAAAAATTCAAGTGTGATATATTGTACTAGTCATTTCTTGATAATTTATAACAATAATTCGTCAATGATCACCGAACAGCAGTAAGATTATAACAAAAACTTACGCAGCGTCTTGCCTGGCCCCATAGAACGGGAACTGTGCTTGAAATCCCCATGTCTGGGAGTCCTCATGCTCTCCATTTCTCTGGCCAACGTCTTCAACGATGGTTCTCCGATTGGAGTAACGTAACTGTTTGAATGGGACCAATATGGACGACTGAGATCAGGAGAAACCTTAGGCGCCATGGAATGACCAGCTCGGCCAGCGAGCAGATCGAAAATCAACTGGCCTTGTGGATACGATGAAAGATTGGAAAGCCTGGAGCGAGGAGAGTTGGAATCGACTACATGGCACTGCTTCTGAAAAGACGGAGAGAAAGTCTACAACAGATTTAAACATCAAGACCAAAATGATTCTTCGTCCTAAAGTTATAAGGAAAAAATCAAAAAAACACTTGCCTGAATGTAATCAACAAGTTGGGCTTCAATTTCTCTTTGTTGTTGAACCTTCGGTGAGAACAAGCTTCCATCCTGCCAGGTGTATTGGGTTGGCGAATTGGATTTTGGAGGAGTGTAGTGAGGTTGAGAAGTCGTAAAATGATGGGCAGGCGCCAACAAAGACATAATCTTACAGTTGTTGAAATATTGCACAAGATATATCCGAGAAATGCCTCTGAAAATAAAAAATTACGATAGTAAGGTGGTGAAGGTGCAATATCGCGCAACGTGACGGAGCAATGATTGTCCAGTGGATTTTTTAGGCATTGCAAGGAAGAACAGACATTAGTTCAAGTAATTCACAAACACAATTTGCATTAAACTGCACGACTTCTCAACACCACATCAAATTATATTACACATGGTCAAAAATCTTCTAATCAAAAGAACTACGGAAAACATGATTGAAAACCACTAAAATTCATGTTTTTAGGCTTCTGTTACCGATTCACTAGGTATTTTTGAGCGTATTGGTAATGTATGCCAACAAAGATAAGCTGAAAACCCACAAAATTTACTAGAATTGGGTAGAATTGTGAAAAGCGCCCGAAGAAACCGATGAAAACATTGTTGCGCGCAAACCGAAGCCGAGTCGCGAAAAAATTCGCCGCCATTTTGGGCCAAAGTTTTCGTTGCGAAACGCGGAGCGCATTACGGTGCTTTCGCGAAACTTCCGCACGTTGAGATTGGCTTCCGAGCCGCGCCCAGCGTTTGCAACTTTTTTGTGGAGATTTTATACGAAGAAACCTGAATTTGCGCCATTATTGACCTGATGATGCAATTATTATACTTGTCAGCCTTTAGCTTCGAGCCTGTTTTTCAGTTATTTTTTGACCTGACTTTGGCTTCTAGTGGTAAAAATATTGCGGTTACGCCAAAAATCGTCCTCGGCACGTCAATCCAGCGCATTTCCTGAACCGTCCAGGACGTTTTGTTTGACCAAAGCATTTTAGGTATCAAAATTCTTTCGGAAGAATTTTTGGAGGACACATTTGGTCTTAAAAAATCAAGGAAAATTTAGTACGTTATTTTCTTGCCGGAAAGAAAGGTTTTGTCCCGGCTGGGCAAGGAAAAACAGAATAAAAATTTCCTCGAAATTCTGTTGATGACCAAACGCGACATTGATCAAATCTTGGTTAGGAAATAGCTTCAACTACGCTGGATTGACGTGCTCTATGAGTTTAGGTAGCTTCCTTGTCATAATTTTCACGGCCTGGCGAGTAATGTATTCCATTTTACAATTTGTTAGGAACACCGATGTTACGTGTCTTCTGTTCTGCCTGTCCAAGATAGCTATTAGCATTTTCACAAAGTGCGTGGACATTTATCGCGGTCCGCAGAAGAAAGATAAGAAAATGCTTTTTATCGGATAGTGACATTTCGTTTTGAACGAATCACCAAAAAGGGGCGGGAAATTTTTTCTTTCATTTTGGATTGACGTGCAATCGGGTTTTTTGAGGTTTGCACGGTGCGCAAAGGCAATCCTCAGTGCGTTGGCGACAAACATTCAAGATGCACTGTGCAAAAACACTCAGGGTGCGAGCGACATCCCAAAAAAGCCTATATACGGTGCAAAGTGAAATTTTGTTTTCGCAGAGTGCATGTCGCCCATTTCCGTCCGGCGACTTTCTGGACGGACTAGTAATGTTTGGCTTCGGTGGTTCGTCATCATCATTCAACATCTAGTCTTTTGCTACCAAAAAGTGCAATAGCATGTTGTTGTTCGGACGTCATTCCAAACACCAAGCCCGAGCCCGCTTCCCACCTTTCCCAATTAATTACACTTTCACCGCAACTGACATAGTCTGTCTACGCTTTCCGTCTTCTTGTTATTGCTTTGTTTCTTGTCCAAGATTATAGTAAAATGGCATATCGTTCTTTTCGTGGACGAATTATGCCCGGTCCTGCGGGCAGAGGGTGCGAGAGAGGGGCGAGGAAGGCAGAGAAGGTCATTCCTAACATAATTCCGGTCGCCCGGGGCGACGGAATGCACGCTATTAGGCAACCGAATTATATCTTGCCTCGAGGCACGCGGGCCACCCGTCTGGCCGTTCGCCCCTTCATTGCGGCTTTGTGTTGGGCCAACGAGGGCCCGAGGACCGGGGGATGGTTATTATCTGAGGGAGGGCGAATCTTCACGGTCATTGGCTGCGATGGAGGATAGGGATGAGACTCAGGGCATACTGTAGTTGAACGCTTTTCATAGCACGTTTTTGATCGATTAAATTTCCGATTCTAAGAGTGATGAAATTTTAGTTGTACAGTCTGATTAACTATTCCGACATTTGTGAAAATGGCTGCACGTCAATCCAAAATAGAAGAAAAAATTTCCCGCCCCTTTTTTGGTGATTCGTTCAAAATCCGATAAAACGCATTTTCTTATCTTTCTTCTTCCTTTTCGAGAAAAAAACAATTATTTCGGGCGAGAAAAAGTGCCGATGATTTCGCGACATTTCGTCTCTCTTTTAAACCAATGAAAACGGTACGAAGTTTCGAAACGGTTCAGGAAATGCGCTGGATTGACGTGGGCTGTGCTTTTAAGGTCTCGCGAAAAGTTTCGTTTCACACCTCATTTCTGGGATTTTTCGCCTTATTTAATAACGATCGTGCTTGTCGTTGGATGTTTTCGTAAATTTTTTGTCAAACTTTTTTATGACCGTACTATGTTTGCACCCCTTTTTTGGCAATAGTAGCAAAAATCGAGCTCTCTCTCGAGCTGGACCGGAACCGCAGTTCGGTAGTCATGATGAGGAATGTTGGCGTTTTTGGGTATGCAAGCTTTATATAATAGTGCAGGGATATTTTAGGGATGTTTTTGAGGGTGTTGAGATAGGGCGGGACTTGGTTTTGGAGAAAATTTGTAAACTTGGTGCTCGTATTTTGGTCTAATAAATCTCTTTTCATTGTTTTGAATTCCTTATTGTCCCCATCTGAGACGTAGTGCATAAAAAGGTGCGGGGTTTGCGTTTTTACCTTCCCCTCGAATTATATTGGCCTTCTTTCTTTACACCTACCGACATAACAACACTCTTGACACGGAAAAATGTTTTGTCTCTCAGCCTGAGACCGGGGCACAACCTACAAGACGGCGATTCCTTTCGATGTTGAAAACCTCGCGTGAATTTGACGCAACAAGTTGGCCGTGTGTTGTTTGGTCCTAGCTATATAATTTTTTTTGTGGAATTGGGATTTTTTTTTGTAGCGATGGGATTGTTGTGAGCTGCCATGTTAGTTATCAAATATTGGTGATTTTTTTCGTCGGTAGAATTTTGCATCCGGGAGGTATCAAAAAATGTGGCAAAATACCCCCAAATGAAGACATTCCGATTTCAAAAGCGCGCCCGCTCTTCTTTTGAAGGAAAGAGGCCTTCAAAACGGAGTTTTTTTAGTTGGAGAGGGATGCATTTTGCTACATTTTTTGATATCTCCCGGATGCAGAATGGTACCGACGAAAGAATCATTAATATTTGATAAGTGACATGGGCTCACGACAACCCATCTTCACAAAAAAAGTCCCAATTTCACAAAAAAAAATTATATAGCGGAGACCAAACAACACTTCCGCCACTGTAATGCAAAGCGCGAGCCAGAAATATCGTATATTTCTTACGAAATGTTGATATAAGTAAATGTCTTCCAATTTTTTTCAAATCCGGCTACAGTAATTCAAATATCCCCCTGTTTATACGGGTTGCTAGAGCCTTTAATAGAGAGCTAAGATGGTTGCCAAAACCCATCTTATGGGGCACCAGCATCCCCTCTTTAACAGTTCATTGACCCCGTCTTATTCGTCATTTAAACAACACTCCGAACCACATTTTCGACGTGTTGTGGCATAAGAATGCGAACCAATTCCTGTGAACCGTGTTTTCATCGATTATCTCGCTCATTTTCAACCGTTTCTTGCCACGTTCAAATATCCACACTACAAATGCCCCCGTGACACAAAACAAAAATTGCTGACCCCAAAACATATCGAGTCCCCCTCTATCTTACCTTGGATTCCAGAACGGCCGCTCCCACGCCCTCAGTACTATGTGGATGAGGGATCCAAAGCGGTAGTAGTCCTTCATTATGGGTCAAGTGCTTTCGTGCAAATTCGGCAAAAATTCACGGGTGTCCACGTCGCATGGGCGGGGTGGGGCCGGCGTCAAGAACTTCGACCCGGACGAGAAATGGTCCAATTTGTACAGAGAGCGGGAGAAGAACCACCTCTACAAATGGGTGGGCGTTCGGTCGGGTAAGCACAAGTTGCGAGAGAAATCAATTTTTTGAAAAAAAGTTTGCTTTTAGCACAGTATCGATCTCCCGAAATTTCAAAATATTCAGATAGGAATCAGTGCACGTATTTTACAACAACAAAAAAAAACGATCATTCATTTTTACAGGCGGAGAGATCATCACAATATACGAGAAAGAAGGAGAAGAGGGCGTTCTCAGATTCGCGGCCGAAAAAATCGAGCCAATGATGTATGAGAATGGCGAGAAAACACAAGTCATCAAATTTGCAGATTACATACGATACAAGAAGAGCGTCGTAAGTGCTACTTTGGAGGAATTTTGGGCTTATGTATTCATACAGTGGGGGATCTGATCCAGCGGCAAAAAATGTACCATTTTGCATCCGGGAAGTATCAAAAATGTGGCAAAATGCTTCCAAAAGAGCGGGCGCCCTTCAAAACGAAGATTTTTCACTTGGAGAGGGAAGCATTTCGCCACTTTTTTTACTTCCCGGATGCAAAATGGTGCGTTTTTTGTCACTGGATCAGGTCCGTCACTGTACTTTATGCACTGTGCTTCCAATTTTGCATCAAAAAATCGCTCCTTTCAGAGTGTCGAGCTGGGCCTCACGGAAGAAGAGACCATGGACGAGAACAAGTCCAAATTCCGCGAGCACGAAGCCCAATGGCGGCTGAATAAACGCGGGGTGGACGGAGAGACGATCGTTCATCTTCTTCTCAACCGAGAGGAGCCCTCGTGCGCGGAGATTGCCCGGATACTGATCCAAAAGTATCCGGGCCTCGCCAAAGACATTTATTTAGGCGATGAAATGTTTGGTAAGCGGTGAAATGCGGTGCTGACAAGTTTTTTCTCAGGTCAAAGTGCACTTCATTTGGCAATCGTTCATGATGATTATGATACGGTGCAGCTGTTACTGGAGAAAGGCGCAGCTGTGAATGCGAGAGCTTGTGGTGACTTCTTCCTGCCCGAGGACACCGACGAATCCAACGCGAGGAATTACAGTTACCAAGGTGAGGATTTGTCATCATTATTTTCTAAGAATGGGCTTCGGAAAAGATTTTCTAAAAATGGGCTTCGAAAAAAATGAATCCAAAGATCATGACGAATATTGTTTTGCAGGCTACGCCTACTACGGCGAGTATCCTCTGGCATTCGCGGCTTGTTTTGGCAACAAAGACATCTATGATCTCCTCATTCAGTACGGCGCCAACCCCGACCTCCAGGACATGTTCGGAAACACCTGCCTTCACATGTGTGTAATTAATTACAGCAGTGTAAGTGGAATGAAATAAGCGTCTTATGCGCCCTTGCAGAGCATGTACAGTTATGCCGTGCGGCATTGGCACAAACCCGCCAAGCCGAATGTCGTCAACAACGCCGGCTACACTCCGCTGACCTTGGCCACCAAATTGGGTCGAAAGCATATCTTCGAGGAAATGTTGGAGCTCATGAAAGTGGTAGGTATATTGTAAAATTATCCCTGCAACATTTTTGAAATGGGGTTTGTAAAATTTTCCAAAAGCGTCATTTTATACGATGAAAAGTTTCATGATGGTTTCTTTCGTATAAAATGTCGCCTGAGACTAAATGGAGATTTTTGGCTAATAAAACAAAATTTTTGCAAAAAAAGGTGCTAAAAATGAAGTTTGAAAATACAAACATTTTAGGAGTTCTGGCGATTTTCGGACATGACTTGCAGTGCCTATCCATTGGACACATTGGACACAATCCGGCCAGATGGATCAACGAGTAAGTAATAGTATAGAAAAATCATCTCTTTGCAAAAAAGATACAGTTACGGACCTGATCCAGTGGCAAAAAACGTACCATTTTGCATCCGCGAAGCATCAAAAATGTGGCAAAATGCTTCCCTCTCCAAGTGAAAAAACTTTGTTTTGAAGGGCTCCCTCACAAAGAGCGGGCGCGATTTTTGCAATCGGAGTTTTTTCACTTGGAGAGGGAAGCATTTTGCCACATTTTTGATACTTCCCGGATGCAAAATGGTACGTTTTTTGCCACTGGATCAGGTCCCCCCACTGTATTCCCCATAAAAAATGTCACTTCAAAATTTTTAGATTACGACTCGGCGTTGATGACAGTCATCAACGGCTACACTCCAGAGCATTTGGATATGATTGGAAGCGAGGTGATTCAACGTCTTTTGGCCGATAAATGGAAAGCCTTTGCGGCCAGGAAGTTGTACGAACGTTTGGGATTACTGGCCTTTCATTTGGTCTGCCTTTGTTTCGTCGTCTACCTTCGACCCACCGAAACGGAACGGCTCTTCTTTAAGGTTATGCAATATGATGACTATGTGAGTAAATAGAACCGAAGCAAACCGTATTTTACTCTGTTTTTGAAATTCCTTTTTTAGGTCCGAGCAGTTTTCGAATTCCTGACAATCTGCAGTTGTGTTTGGTTTGTTTTTGCCCAGCAAGTGGGCGATTTAAGGACTCAAGGGGTGCAAGGATACCTCAGAAACTTGGTGAGCCAACTGAATTTTGTTTTGTGCCTTTCAGAATCCAAATATAAAAAGTTTAAAAATTATAAAAAGTTGACAAAATTTCCACTTTTCCAAAAATTTTTTCAAAGTCGCTACTGGTAATATAAAGTTTATAAATAATTTTTTATATGTTGATTGGCACTAAAAAGATACATTTTTGCTTTTTTTGGAACATTTTACGACCTCACAGGCTATTGAAACAGAATGCCAAAAACGGCGGGAATTTGAAATTTTGAATTTTTCTAACGAAAATTCATGAGATTAAAATATTGGTAAATCTCTTCGAAGCAATTTTTTAATGCCTAAACACATTTTGCGACCTCACAGGCTATTAAAACAGAATGCCAAAAATGGCGGGAATTTGAAATTTTGAATTTTTCGAACGAAAATTCATGGGATTCAAATATTGATAAACCATTTTGAGCAATTTTTATGCTCTTTTCAGGCCACAGCCCCAGCCAAGATTGTATATCTAATAGCGAATATCTGCCTATTACTCTGTGTCCCATTCCGCTTCACGCAGCAGAATCAGATCGAAGAAGGGCTTCTGATCTTCGCCATTCCGGGTAGTTGGATCTTCTTGTTGTTCTTTGCCCGTTCCGCCAAACTGACCGGACCTTTCGTGCAGATGATCTACAGTATGATTGCTGGTGACATGATTCGTTTCGGGATCATTTCAGCAATCTTCTTGGTATCCTTCTCACAGGGTAAGATGGCTATGCCGATGGCATTTTCATGGGAATTCCGGCTGGAAATCGTTGAAAAAATTGAGCAAAATTTTGCATTCGCTTTTTCGGATTTGAAATTTACTTTTTTTTTAGTCTTTTACTTTGTTGGCAAGGACATGGCGGCGAAACAACATCTTCAACCAACTGATGATGCTTATTGTCCAATTTCTGGGTATGAAATCTACACGTACAGCACTTTTTTGGAGACCTTTGTCACCTTGTTCAGAGCTAGTATGGGTGGTTATGATGTAAGTTGGAAAAAAATTGCCTTAAAATACGATTAGAAAATTAAAAATGCCGATTTATAACACTTTTCGCCCGTTTTCAGTACGAAGAATTCGGTTGTACGAACTACGAACCGCTCACGAAGACCTTGTTTGTCCTGTACATGTTCGTCATGCCAATTATGATGATCAACATCCTCATCGCTATGATGGGTAACACTTACACCACCGTCATCTCGCAAGCCGAAAAGGCCTGGCGACAGCAATACGCGCAGATTGTGATGGTGTTGGAGCGATCGGTGAACAAACAAAAACTAGCGGCATGCCAGTTGGAGTATTCGATCAAGTTGAACGAGACTTCCAGAGGTTTGATGGTCATCAAACAGACCAGAAAGACGAGGGCGAGACAGCGAAAGCAAGCGATCAACAACTGGAAGGTGGGTTGTTGAAAGAGAATATGAGAGAAACGTTGATTACTGTAGCCTATATAGGCTTTACTATGGCCTATACAGGCTTTACTATGGCATGTAAAAGCTTTACTATGGCCTATATAGGCTTTACTACGTCCTATATAGGCTTTACTATGGCCTATATAGGCTTTACTATGGCCTATATAGGCTTTACTATGGCCTATATAGGCTTTACTATGGCCTATATAGGCTTTACTACGTCCTATATAGGCTTTACTATGGCCTATATAGGCTTTACTACGTCCTATATAGGCTTTACTATGGCCTATATAGGCTTTACTATGGCCTATATAGGCTTTACTACGTCCTATATAGGCTTTACTATGGCATGTAAAAGCTTTACTATGGCCTATATAGGCTTTACTACGTCCTATATAGGCTTTACTATGGCCTATATAGGCTTTACTATGGCCTATATAGGCTTTACTACGTCCTATATAGGCTTTACTATGGCCTATATAGGCTTTACTATGGCCTATATAGGCTTTACTATGGCCTATATAGGCTTTACTATGGCCCATATAGGCTTTACTACGGCCTATAAAGGCCATAGTAAAGCCTATAAAGGACATAGTAATCAACATTACCGTGGCCTGTGAAGGCCCTAGTAATCAACACAATTTACAAAAGTTTATGCGTCTGACGGGAATCGAACCCGTGTCGATTGCTTGGAAGGCAACCATGCTGACCATTACACCACAGACGCTCATGATCCCGCAGCTCGTTATTGAGAGGAAATCCCCGCAGATTTTGATAAATCTCTTTTTTCGTCAAAGAGAACTCAAAGAAAATGTGTTTTCCCCCGAAATTCGATGATGAAATCCAACGACTGACCACTATTTTATCTTCCGAAATTTTCAAATGACGAAAAATTCCAGAAAATCAAGCACAATGTCATGAAGATGGTGGACAAGTATGGTGCCGAACAAACCAAATTCCTATTACATAGTCATGATCGAATCATAATTGAGGAGACGGTGACCGGAAACGTTGATGCTGTCGTTGCAGCGGCCGCTGTGAACATGGCCAGAAGCTCGAGCAACCGGACTCCAAGTCGCGCTGAGAGTGAAAATAAAGTGAGTAAATCACTGTAATCTTCGTCTTGAATGTAATTTCGTACATCCTTAATGTAATTTCACACTTCTTTAATGTAATTTTCAATCTTTTTCCAATGGTTTTGCAAAGCTGTGACTAAACTGGCGTCCATTTTCAGGACAAACCAGCCTCCGTGATGGTGCCGGTTCGGCCGCTGACTGGCAGCCGCAGAGACTCCGTAAAGCCCTCTTCTCATCGTATCCCAATCGAATCTCCGACCAAAGAAGAGCCAGAAACACAGCGATTGGAACATCAGTCGTCCGAGGAGCGGCATGATCAAACTCCTCCGCATGGGTCGAACACTCGCAAGAATGGATACGTCCATGTGACGCAACGAAGTCTAACGGCAGTCGCAACGGGAACTGTTCGAGGTAAGGGGACGTTTGAGCGGTGGAATTGATAAGCAGGCAGAACATATACGGTGACGGACGTGATCCAGTGGCAAAAATCGTATCATTTTGCATCCGGGAAGTATCAAAAATGTGGCAAAATGCTTCCCTCTCCAAGTGAAAAAATTCGTTTTGAAGGGCGCGCCTTTTTTTCCTCACAAAAAGAGCGGGTGCGCTTTTGAAATCGGAGTTTTTTCACTTGGAGAGGGAGTATTTTGCCACATTTTTTGATGCTTTCTGGATGCAAAGTAGTACGTTTTTTGCCACTGGATCAGGTCTCCCACTGTACATATAAAAACCATTTTTTTTATTATCGACCACTACATACGGCTTCCTCAAATCCACTAATTATCCCATTCAGCTAGCTGCAGCTTCTTTGCAATGCACGAGCTAAAATCTCCAGAAATATTCACCTTTACGGTAGAAATAGCGATGCAACTTTTCGTGCCGAAATTCGACAAACAGTCTCAAATTTTGACCAACTTTCGACCTAAAAATCTCGGTAGTTTCTGCAAAGCGCGAGCTAGGATTCTCGCATATATTTTAGAAAAAATTATTCTAAATTTGTGCCAAGTTTCATCAAAATCTGAGCGTCGCACTTGGGGCACTTCCCCTGTCAGTTTGATGTGGCATTCTTCTAAAAATATTCATGCTAAACTTTGAGGTTGATTGCGTTTTTCCCCTATTCATTATAATCCATTTTCAGGAGTAGACCTGCTTCCCAGTGTGGACATCCCCAACATCCCAGCTCGAGGGGCTAACTCCAGCTCCAACTCGAATTCCGACGGCACTCCGCCGCTTCGGATTCTGAGTCCGCCGATTCGTCAGGACATGTTCCGTCAGCGGAGGACGCGCGGATCTCCCAAATCCGACGAAAACCAATAATTTGGATGTCTAGATCTCTATTGTTGTTTATACATAAGTAAACGGGATTTTTGTGGGGTTCCTGTAATATTTATAGATTACTGTAACACTAAATTTACAGTAATTTCTTGAAAATTGCAGTGGCCTTTCACAGTTTGCATGCAGATTACGTAATGATAAATATCGAAAGTTGTTTTTATCATTGTTTATACAAAATAAAGATCCTAAAAAACGATGGGTTTCGAGAAGCGATTACGGTGATTTTATTGTGAATTATTCGTCCGAAATGGGTGTAAGTTTTCCGGGGCAAAGTCCAGTCTGAAATGGAGTTCCGTAGAGTTTGCGCGGGGACTTTGATCCCCGATCTTGAATCGATAAAAACAGAGAACATTCGGAACGACCTTTGACGCCGGTGTACGGTGACCTAGCTGGAGAATCTCACGTCAAAGGGAGACGGAACTCTGGAAGAGATTCTTGAAACAGATTACGGACTTTTAACAAACATCACTGCCCTAAATGATATTACATTTTTGGAAAATTTAATATCAGAAAAAGTCCTCTGATCACTGAGGTTACTATGATGAGTTTCTTGTTCAACTTTGGCAGGTGGATCGGCTTGAATTAGATGGAGGGATGTCGGAAAAAACGACTTCTTTGGCCTCCAGTGAAGGGCCAATTTTTTTCAAAAATTCAATTTTCAAACTTTTTTCGGTATGTTATGGAACATGTGATATCCGAAAAAACGAGTAATATTACCGTTTAAAAATTTCATCGACGAAATCTTTCTTTTTTGTTTAGCTGCGAGAAAAGGATTAATCAAAAACCCCGAGGATTTCCCTTCAATTTCAAGCCCCAGAGCCGTGCGCGTCTGTGGTGTAATGGTCAGCATGGTTGCCTTCCAAGCAATCGACACGGGTTCGATTCCCGTCAGACGCATAAAATTTTTTTTTCATAGACTGAAGTACCCTACTTCCTATTGACAAATTTTTGTTTTCCCGGTTCTACGTTGCTCGGAATTGCGGTGTAAAAAACCGTGATTTTTGCACTTTTATCGGACGCTAAAAGCAACAATTTCGAAAGCAAATAATTGTCGGGAAATCAACTTGAAACTAATAGAAAAATTGTAGTCTTCCGCCAGGTAATCCGGGTGAAGATTACCGTGAAAATTCTGTAAAATTAATCGGAAGAGACCAAAAATCTACTAAAACAAGTCGCGTATTATATAAATTAACCTTTATTTTATGTACAAAAACTGAAACAATGTGAAAATCACTTCAAAAGAAGTTGAAAGATCATCCTCTAATAATGTCAACTAGCTCTCGGACCTTGTCCATGGTGGCTTTATATATATCGTCCATCAAAACTCCAACGAATATGCATTCCTTGAAGATGAGGGCCATTTCCTCTCCGTCTCGGATCAAAAGGACCAATTGGCCAAAGCGAATGTCCGCGTTGGTGTGCGATTTCTCTTGGCAATGTTCGTAGAGTTCTTTGTATAGTTGGGTTCGCTCTACAAGAGCCTCTTCGCAGCCCACTCGACAGTACACTTCGTCGGATATGATGATCCCGACCAGGCCAAGGAACTCGAGTTCGTCCATTTGGAGGGCTTTCACCTTTTTGGCCAGTTTCCGCAGTCGAACACCATATGGTTTGAAGTTTCTGAAAAGCAACAATTATGGATAAAATGTGGGGGGAAATCCGAATCAAAATTTTTTTTGACGTAATTCGACCTGACAGGACTTGAACAAAAATTTCAACCTTGTAATTCAAAAAAATTTTTTTTTTTGAATTACAAGTAATTAGGTATATAACCCTCAGATTTTCAAGTAAAACCTCCCCAGAAAGTCTCGAATCCTTACCGCGCACTTTCCTTGGGATTGAGGTCATTTTTGAACAGGGTACCCATATGCTCAAAGTCCATGTAATCCGAGTGGGAAAAAGCGATCGCGTCATCCTTGTCGGGAAAGAATATTGACGTCAGATAGGCGCGTTCTAACTGGAGGAAGCGTTGCATAAAAGTCATGATGATGTCAAACTAAAATTTAAAAAAAATTAAACAACACCTCATGTATAATATAAATAACACGAAAATACAAACAAATATTCACCTTTATGTTCTTATCCAGTATCGCGTATGGGCAAAAGGAGTCGCGGAACATCATATAAACGCTGGGCAGGGTGGCCATGTCCAATTTCAACTTCTCATCGATAGGTATAACAACAAGCGAATTTTGATCCGTGAAGATTAACTCGGGGTACATCGAGGCGAACACTGCTCTATGGGCTATGACGTATTTTCGATAACCCTCGCGAATTCTTTCTAAGATCTTTGGGGCTGGCGCAGGGACGGACGGAGAAAACTTCGGGGGTGGACTAGCTCGGATAAAAGTTCGATTACGATCACGGGGGTGCTGAACCTCTGAAAAGAACTTATTATTCTGTTCAATTATACTACAGCGAATAACAACATCCGTTTTTATTTGCTTCGAAGTTCATTTTTGAAGCTCGTAAAAAGTTTTCATTATTCTAGGCATCAAATAACAAAAAATTCTAAAAACCGATGGAATATAGGTGGTAAAACTTCCCGTTAAAATAAATGTCACATGCCTTAAAAGTTTGCTGACGTCTACTATCAAGCCTAAAACCAAAAGAAAAAATACAAAATCCACTTACTTTCGACCTTCATCCCAACGGCCAGGCATTTTGTAAAACGGCAACTTCGGCAGGAATTTCGGATATCTGAAACAAAAAAAAAACAATAAACAAGCATTTCATGCTACAAAAATTGCCATTTTCAGCCCATTTACGGAGCTAGAGACAGTGCAGTATGTAAATGCAAACCAACGCAATGTTATCTATGCTTACCTGAGGAAATCTCGCATTTCTTGTCGTGCAAGCATTTATAAATTCGCTCTTCCGCAACTGAACGTCGGAAAAAGGCACTACCTAAAATTGGAAGTTCAAAATTAAGTTAAACTCTACTTACAGGCTCTGCAAGCGATAATTCCGAAATGGATTCCATTTGCGACCGCTCCACAAACCCTGCAGGCACCCTGATCCTCATTACTGCTGCAACTGATCTCATCCTTCAGGTCGGACAATAGATAGGAGTTTTCAAGAATCGAGCTCGTCGCTGTCATCTGGAATTATGTTGTAGTAGGCAAGGATTGATAGCAAAATAAAAATAGGTTGGTAAAAAGAACCGGAAAGCATGGGAATTTAAGAGGATGCAAAAATATGAGCTTCAATGTTGCTTGTGTCATTATCAATTCGGAAAACGGCTAAAACCATAGAACAAACGCAAGAATAAGGTTAAAATTGATGCTACCCGATAAAAATGGGTAAATTCGAGCCGGATGACGTCAAAAACACTAATTGCCGTGGTAAACCGACAAACTCGAAGAAAATTCGCAATCTTTTCGATCAATTTTCTTATCAAAATTATTATCTTTTTCTATGATCGAACGAAATGCCACAAATTTTATCGGTTGTTGCGAAGTGTCAAAAAAATTTAAAATTTGTTCAAAATCACCGATTTTGGGTCTGAAAGGCATGTTAAAAATCCCACTGACTCCCACAGTAAGAGGGGAATGATGAGAATGACCGGAAATAAAGAAATCTTGTGTCATTTAGATTAATAAGTTGAAGATATTACTTTACATTCAATTTATGTTCAAAAATCTCAAAAACCCCCAAAAAAGACATACTCTCCTTCTCTGATTACCCTCCTTGAAAAAATGCCACCCCAGATAACGAAGGGAGGCTTGATGTAAAGAAATCGGGGCCGTCTAAACTACAAATGAATGAACATTCTCCTAGACTATAACAGAATTATCTCTAGTATTTTATATATTGATTTGTATATTGAAGAGTTAGAACCGTAAACAGAAAATTCTGCAAAATTAGTCAGACAGGCGTGAATTTTAAATGCAAAGAAAAAAAAACAAAAAGGTGAAATAGTTCAAGAGTAAATATAAAATGAAGGTAATTTGGGGTCGTTGTTTACAAGTCGCGTGATGAATGAAAAGTGAATTTCGGTGGGAAAAAGTGTTGGGACTCTGATAATTCGGGCTTAATGAAGTTTAGTTTTATTGAATTTTCTACGCGATAAAAATTCGGGGGCAAAAAACAGAGTTTTACGAGAGAGCAAGCACTTTTGCAGGAAGCGCATCAATCGGACGATTGATGAAAAAAGCGACTCAATTTCTCGGTTTTGTTGAAAACGTGAGCTGGAACAAATTTTTTCAAAGTCTTAAGGGCGGGGACTGATTTTGTTGATGACGAAAAGGCTGGAAGAGATCGCATTTTAAAGAAGGCAATTCGAGCTGATGCTTACAATTAGGCTACCAGGGGAAGTACCCCAAATGCGACGCTTAGAGCTTGATGAAACTTGGCACAAATTTAGAAAAATTCTTTCTAAGATAAGAGAATCCTAGCTCGCGCTTTGCAGAAACAACAAGGATTTTTAGATCGAAAGTTGGCGAAAATTTGACAATTTTTGTCGAATTTCGGCACGAAAAGTTTCATGCCTATTTCTACTATAGAGGGTAATGTTTCCACAAAAAATCAATTTTTTCCGCCCGAAACTAGCGAAATTATGGCCAAAAAGTGTTCAAAAAGTGTTTTTCTCTTTGACCGCTCTCCACGTTTATTGTATTCTCTCGGCGGCAAAGATCGTTCAATATCTCGGAGGCGTTTGCATAGCAGAGTTAAAACTTTGAGGAATGGATATTAAGTATATGCCCGACGTGTGCGCAAAATTAAAGAAAAAGAAAATCTAAGCGTCGCACTTGATACTTCCCTTGTAAGTACGGCAAAAATATTATATTTACTGTCTCCTTTAAATCAAGTTCTCATTATCTATACATCCCACTCAAAAAAACAACAAAAATCTTCAAAACGTGAGAAATTGCCTTTCGTTTTGTGAAAAACGAGAGGTTTTCAAATACTAAATCAAGATGCGGGAACATGATTCAGTGATGATCGCCTTTTGGCAGGAATTTCCGTGAGCAAAGTCTACACGAAGCGCAGTTCCAATAACCCCCGCAAGAATTGGAAGATTGTCTGTGCGAAAAAAGGGGAATGACGGGAAAACGGGTGAACAACAGTGGTGTTTGAATCGGCGCGCCGACTTCAATTTTTGTGACTACAAACCCCATGTGTGATGTGATCGGCTGATAACGACAGTTCATTACGAATCGAGAGAGACGTAAGAGAGAGAGGGATTGCTCTTAAAAGATTAAGTGATCTGCTAGAGATTGGAATTATATGAAATGGTGGTTCTACAGGGACATAAATGAAGGAAGCAGTTGCACGGAATACAAGAGGACTATTAAAAGAAGTGTACTTTATGGGATGATAATGCAGATGTAGTCTGTGGAAAACGTTGTGAGCAAAAAGGCTATAGAAACTTCGAGGCCGATTTTCTTGGCTTTGAAGCCCGCGCAGAGCTTTCCCCCCAAGTGGATAATTTACTACCATACTTCTTTCGATCTAACTATTGTTTTGATTGAAATTATGGGCCGGAAAAACGGAACAATCATACTTTCACGCCTAATATGTCCCAAGCCAAAATCGATTTACACATAAAGTGCATTCCCTTGTTAGCAATGGCTATTGTACGGTGTAAACCCGCAAATATGTGACCAACACGAAAGCATAATAAAACTTCGCAATAAAAAATCACAGGTCACAATTTTTTTAGCTTTATGTTTCCGGTGTTAAAATTGATTTTAGCGGAAAAGAGTTTAGATGACATATTGCGTCCGGATCTTAACCTGATTTCGACGATATTGGATTACGATTCGGCTAAGGGCAAACCAACTCGGCTGAGATTTAGCGGAGACTCGGACAAGCCGGCGAAGTTCGCGGTGATCGGCAAAGACTCGGCGGAGGTTCGCAGAAAAATTGTTTCCTACAATTTTATCAGCCTCCGGTCCTAATTTTTATGCGGTTTCTGCTGCCGCAAACTACAAGCTTTTGTGTCTTCGGTTTTTTTATAAAGAATGACGAGAAAAACAACGCGTCGTGTTTTCTGCATCTTACCTGAAAGAACTTTCTGTAAGACTAAAATTAACCGTTCCGAAGACCCCAAGAAGTGCTTTAGGCCTAACAATAAGTAAAACGACAATATGGTCTATACAACGAGAAAATTTTAAATTTTTGGTGTTCAACGTTTCCATAATTTGTTATAAACGACTTACAATTTTTATACAGCTCTTCCGGAAAACATACTCATTAAAAAAACTATGAAGCCGTAAAACTGTATGTATTCGGAAGTGGTTTGGACGTAGTCAGCTAACTACACCAACTTTTCTTATCTGCACGTATATAAATATAACACAACAGGAGAGTGTAGAATCACTTATTTGTCTGTTTTATGATTGGCGTATTCACTCAAAGCTTTGCTCAATTTAGTTATTAATCAAAATCTAATGTACAAAATAGAAAACAACGTATCTTTACCCATACAAATTCTTCGCAGAGTTCTTGTGCAAACTAGAAGCTTGATGAAAAATAATGCTCTGCGTAAATTTCCGTTTTATCACCAATTATAATGACCACAAACAGTCATTGTTCATAAATAGACTGTCTTTTGGTCAAATTCAAATTTTGTCTCCAGACATGCTCTTTTAAAAAGCATAGCTTAGAGGTTGCAGCAATGAATGGATTTGCGAGCAAATGACAAAAAATGTACTCTGGACAATTTTGCAATAACACGGCAAAACATGACGACCTTGGCAAAGATAATTTGTAGGATTTGTACGAATTATTCACTAGAAATAGTGACGACACTTTTCATGCGGAAGATTTACAAAAGATATCATATTTTTGTTAAATTATCACTTTGAAATATCGGTTATTTCAAAGTAAATGCGCTTTTCTACAGGGTGCGGCAAAAAAATGGAAACTTATTTTTATAGCTATATTTTTCCTAGCAATCCAAATTCCGCCAAAGTAACGGCCATCTTCAACAACATAGAGCATTGTTTATAACATATTCAACCCGTTTTACCGTGGCTGCTTTTGGTGGCGATATAGAGCTCCAAACGTGACTTAAAATTTTGGCCTTTTGGCCGCAGCTTTTTTCGGGGAAATCGGTCCCGTTCTTGACGCAGCGATTACTTTGCGACTAAAAACTTTTGTGGCGTGTAGTACAGATGCTGGCCTCCAATTGAAAAAAAAAAATTACAGTCCATTGGATCTATACCCGGCGAGCAGGCGCTCTTTTCGCAGACGGGGTGAAATCGGGAAAATCGGTCTAAAAATCGGTCTTGACTCGTTGTTGCCCTGTGAGTCGGCGCTGGGTCTAGTTGGAACGTCAAATTTGCGCTGCCAAGGTTCTACTGAGCCAACAGAAGCATGAGGAAATCGAAGTTAACGCGGCGCTAGAATTTTGCCCGCTTGATCCACGAAAATCTCGGAATTCTTGCCGCTGGCACAAATTCCGCCTTAGGCGATGACGGCCCTTATTTTGACGGTGTTCGTCGTTAGCCGACGTGCAGGGGGTCTCATCGGATTGGACTATGACGTTCTGTTGGTTGTGCACCCGCCAAAGATTGCACCGCGAAGGGAATGCGCTCCCATCGCGGACCTGCGGCCCGACGTCGGAATTTTCGGCATTTTTTCAGGCGTACGGGCTTGATCTTGCCGATTAGGAGTTGCGCATTTCAGACCTTGCGTGAGGAGACTTTGAGTTGATTTTTAGCTATTTGGCCGACTGGTCGGTCGCTGATGCCGGTCTCACGGGCAATTTTTTCTCGAAATCGACGGATTTCGCTATTGATGACTCCGCGGCTGGCAGAAGTGTTGTCGGTGCGTTTGCTTTCGCTTACTGGACGCTTAAAATTGTCAAAAAGCTCCCTGCATTGTGTGATTACTTTGGACGCAACGTGCTTTCTATGCCGGGCAAATTAACAGTTCGCACAAGTAAAAAAACAGGTCCGAAATCGAGGTCCCTCTGTTTGTCATTCAAAAAAAGAATGTTAATAAACCGATATGGACATGAAATTATAAGGCCTAGGAGAGAAAGCTACGTAGAATTTAATGGTATGAAAATAATTTTGCTGCATTTAAAAATTTTTGCGTCAGGACTCAATAAAAAAAGTTTCCATTTTTTTGCCGCACCCTGTACAAAGCAAATTCTGAGTCTGGCGAATGCTATAAAAAATTGCACAAAGTTTTTTCAATATCTGATTCAGTGATATATATGTTTTTAGAGTCTCTAACGATTCGTTCATTAATGAATAAATAAACAAGAATTATGACTGAATCATATCTATCATGTCCCGTATTCGATCCACCGTCGCCTTGTAAATGTCATCCACCAGAACGCCGAGAAAAATGCACTCATTAAAGGTCCAGGACATCTCTTCGCCGTCTCGAATCATCATCAACAATTGGCCAAAGCGAGTGTCCGCAGAGGTGTGGGATTTCTTCTGGCAATGTTGATGCAATTCTTTGAACATTTGAGTCTGTTCTGCAAAGGCTTCGGGAGCGTCCGTTCGCCAGTATACTGAAAAAAATCGGTAATTATAACGAATCTTTCATGGGGTTTAAGAATCTTGCACGTAATTGTGTTGTATAGTAAGGACTTTCTTACTCTCACTGGCTGTTAAAATCCCAACCAACCCAAGGAACTCCATTTCGTCCAACTGAAGCATTTTCGCCTTCCGAGTTAAGCGTTTCAGTCGAGAGAGGTAGGGTCGGAATGTTCTAAAACCGTGTTGGTTATACAGTGGGGGACCTGACTCAGTGGCAAAAAACGTCCCATTTTGCATCCGGGAAGTATGAAAAATGTGGCAAAATGCATCCTTCTCCAAGTGAAAAAACTTCGTTTTGAAGGGCGCGATCTTTTTCCTCGCAAAAATACCGGGCGCGCTTTTGAAATCTGAGTTTTTTAACTTGGAGAGGGAGGTATTTTGCCACATTTTTTGATGCTTCCCGGATGCAAAATGGTATGTTATCTCGCCACTGGATCAGGTCCCCCATTGTACATTACTGCTCAAGGTTGCAAGAAAAACTGGACATTCAGACCTCATCAACCAACCTTTCGCTTTCTTTTGGGTTCACGTCATTTTTAAAGTACTTATTCATATGATCGAAATCGGCGTAATCCAGCTGCGAGAAGGCGACCACATTGTCCTTGTCGGGGAAGTACAACGCCGTCAAGTAGGAGCGTTCTAGTTGAAGAAATCGTTGGAGAAATGTTATGATGACTTCAAACTGGAATAAAAAACTTCTTTTAGATCAAACTCTTACAATTAGTCAGAGAACCGTCAAAGTTTCTCACCTTATTTTCCTTGTCCATCAATGCATACGGACAGAAGTACTCCTTGAACATGATGTAGATACTCGGCAATACCGCCATGTCTAATTTAAAGCGTTCGTCGATGCTTATTGTCGCTAAAGAATTTCGATCGGCAAAGATGTGCTTCGGATGCATGGTGGAGAATATTGCGCGATGCGCAATGTGGTACTGCTTGTATCCTTCTCGAAGTCGGTCCAGGATCTTCGAAGTCGTAGGGAGAGGAGTCGAAGGCAGTACTTTATTTGGCTTCTGGTTTGCTTGTGGATTTCGTCGGTTGCGGTCACGGGGATGTTGGACTTCTGAAACAAAAAAAGTTTCCGTTCGACGATTTAGGTTAATGGTGACGTTATTAGAGGTTAATTAATATTTTACTAAAAATATTGGTCTGATTTGAATCTAACGTTTTCAAAAGTTCATTTGGCAGTCGAACACTTGATCTAAATTCACAAAATTACAAAGTAAATCAGGCTTACTTTCCGTTTTCATTCCGGCGGCTTGGCATCTCGCAAATCGACAGCTTCGACAAGAATTTCGAATGTCTGAAAAGAGGAATTGAGCATAAACACAACTACTAGGTCGTCCGGAAGGTCACCGGTATGAAATCAGTTACAAAAAATTTTCTTTGCAATGTGCAAGAGGCTTCTTTCGGCTGATGCCCGCATCCTAACTTTTCTCGCACTGTCAAAATGCCAGAAATCAATCGGGCGACTTTCCAGAACGACCAGTATCATAGCTGCCCATATTTGACACTCACTCAAAGCCATTCCACACTTCCTGCCATACAGACATTTGTAAACCCGCTCTTCAACAACCGAGCGACGGAAAAACGCACTGCCTAAAAATACACTTGCCTATGGTATAAAAATCTTTTCCAACATTTTACCACTTCAACTTACAAGCTCTACAAGCGACAATTCCAAAATGAACCCCATCGGAGACCGCTCCACAAACCCGACAGTGATTTTCACTGCAGTTTAGCTCCGATCTTAACGCATTCATCGAATATGTTGAACTCGAAGCACTGGGGTTCATCGTCTTCGAACCGGCTTATAAACCGGCGTTTGTATGACGCTTGCAAAACTCTCGAAAAATCGTAAATAAATCGTCGATCAATAGGTAACTAAGTTCGGCAAAAAGATATTGAAAAGTGACGTCAGAAAACACAAACTCAAATCTGCGAAGTGGGGATTTGGGAATAAAAAAGGCATTTTCTCAGCAACATACTGTCAGACGTTCCACGTTGGTCAAATGGCTAACACAGCTTCTATGATTAAGTCTATGTTTTCGGCAAAAAAAAGTTTCCTGGCGCTGTTGTTTAGTCAGAAAAAAGTAGCCTCAATCTCGGACTTGTCCTGATCTCTTATTGTTAGCAATCTTATCCCATAAGAAGGGGAAAAAATGCTCAGTAACTAAAGTTAAATTTATCAAGCAATCAAGAACAACACCAAGAAATTTCCGCTTTATTGTCACAGAACCATGTTGGAGGAGCGATAAGAAATTTTTTGGTCTTTTAGAAGGCTTCGACTGAGGTTAGTCCAAACTTCGTTATACTACAGCATGCTGTTCGCGTCGAATTACGCAAAAATACACGCCACTTTAAACATTTCCAAAATTTTTAATTCTTAACTGAGCGGTGAGCCCGTTGAAAACAAACCAAACAACATAGAAAAGTGAATTTCGATCGATTTTGTGGCGTGACCACAGAACACAGAGTAGTTTGTGGGTCAAAGGAGTCCACTCCTCATAAGCTGATGGGGCCTCGGAAGAGAGAACTCTAATTTAGCTAGTGGTAATACGTTTAGCTTTATTTTGGTCCTGAGAAGTTGTACTGTGCGGTCTTTGCGCGAAAGTATTTCACATCGGCCACTAGCTTTTCGTTACGCCTTTTTAACGAAGAGCTAGACATAGTTAGTTTCTACTTTATTTCAGATGCCATCCATTCTTTAGACTTCATACTTGCAATCTAAAACAAACATAATGTTTTTTTGACCTATTTGTCTGCATAACATGCATTTTTGAACACTTATTTTTGAGAATTTCCCGTGACATCTCTGTTCCCCAAACATTCCCTTTATTTGTCTCCAAGCGACCCGTATTCATCGCAGTGACCTTCGTATTTTCTTGAACTTTGAAAGCCAAACAGGTTAGTTTGTTGCAACGGCAAGTTTGGCTTATAAAAAACATTTTTAACTTCTTTCGAACGCCTGCTTTGGAATCTGAAAATTCGGACTTTAACCACCTAATTTGGAGTCTGAAAAATGATGCATTCTCCTGTTGTGCTTACGAAACTCTAAGGAATCCTTATCACTCAGAACACTGTGCTTGTCGTACTGTAAAAACCACACTGTGTGCTCTATAATCTGTGCTCTGAGCAACCGGACACTCACATCGTTGAAGACGGATATTTGCATTGTTGTATTTGTAGAGGAAGTATTGTTTGTCCAAGGTCTGGAATATCGTCCTCGCCTGAGAATTAAATCACGCTGACTTCGAAAGGAGTGGAGTATATTTTTTATTTTTTTATTTGAACCAAGCTAACACTCAATATTCTGCAAGAAATATCAACTGGTCTTTAACAATTTTAGCGTTCAAAACGGGCATTTTGATTTTTAAAGATAATCTACAGCAATTCTTCAAGTGGAATTTTTTAGTCGCAAGGCACGTCAATCCAGCGCATTTCCTGAACCGTTTCTAAACTTCGTATCGTTTTCATTGATTTAAAAGAAAGACGAAATGTCGCGAAATTATCGACACTTTTTCTCACCCGAAATAATTCTCGAAAAGGAAGAAGAAAGATAAGAAAATGCTTTTTATCGGATAGTGACATTTCGTTTTGAACGAATCACCAAAAAGGGGCGGGTAATTTTTTCTTCTATTTTGGATTGACGTGCAAGGGTATACGTAGTAAAAAAACTATCTGCTGGTCGGTTTTTAGAGTATAAGTGCTCTTTTGCCTGCAAGGACTGTTGGATATCTCGGCTGTGCATACAAGGCAATAAAACGAATTTTCCAGAATTAAAGTACGCCTTGGATGAGCAAAATGTTCAAAGCAAAATGAAACTTTAGCAGAAAATGACAGAACAGAATGTCTCCTCTTAGTTTATACCGGATAATTGTTTTTTGTGGACTACAGTAACCCGTAGAATCTTTGTCCTCCATTTGACTCCCAAAACTGTCTGTATTTTAAAAAATCCTTGTCATCTTGATGATAATTTTATTATAACAAACATTGTTCATAGTTTGATCATCAATTTCCCGAAACTGATTAAATCCGCCTCATAAGACGTCATTCCAGATACGAAACGCTTCTGCACCCTTCGAATTGAATCGTGTGTGGTTTGTGTGCTGATATTCGATAAAGGCTCTTCCTTTTTTGGTGTTTCCCACAACTCTCCCGTTTCGTTCGGCAAATTTTAATTTTTCTTTCGACTTTTTTATATCTTGAACGTCATTTGAACGCGATTCGGGCGCAATTTTTCTTTTTGCAATTGTAAATAGGCGAACTTGAACTGGAGCAAGTCTACTATTGGGAATTCCATTTTGTTTTAGGCGTCATTGAGGGTTCAGAAGGGTAAAAAGGAACATTTTGGATTATCTAATGATGATTCTGATGTTTTTTACCGAAGTTGGTGAGAAAATGATTGGGCAACCCACAAAATATTTTTCAAGTAAAACCTGTTTTTATCGATAGCTGAAACTTTCCCATACGTTTTCTGATAACAGAAGGGATGTTCAGTAAACATAAATCCGATGTTTGGAATACCCAACCTGGACCACTGCTATCTTAAAGGTCAAAAAGATTCTAATCTTATGCGTTCTGACTAATGAGAGTGTGGTTTGTGCCATGCGCATAACGACTTCTTTCTTATTCGAATAGTTGTTTCATGTTAACTTTAACGAGCAAAAATTTTGTTCGGGGTCGTTTTCCTTTATAAAACTTTGAATTACCCCTGCTACAAGCTTTTTAAAAGTGTCTACCGCTTCGCTGAATCTTCAATTTTATCTTCCAAGTAAATATTTTCAGGGAAGTAATGCCGAGTTCAAGTGACGAAAACAGTTGCAGCACGTCCGAGGAAGTCTACCAACTGCAATGCAGGGTTTGCAAAGCGCCTTCGGATGGGCCTCACTTTGGGATCCAGGCATGCAGAGCTTGTAGCGCATTCTTTCGTCGATCGGTCGTTGAAAATCGCCGATACAAGTGCTCGCAATATGGGAAATGCAAAATTTCGACCGGTAAGAGAAGGGTTTTAAGCTTGAATTTTTAATTTTTAGACGTCCGAAACTCCTGTCGAAGCTGTCGATTTACAAAGTGTGTGGCGGCTGGAATGCGAACCGACAGTAAGTTGGGTTTCAACGAAAAATATTCTTCTTTATATACGCCGCTGGCATCCTATAGTGAGGCATTCTATTAGGACGAACCAAAAAAAATTTCCGATTTTATTCAAAGTTTAAAAATAATTTTAACAAATGAAATCCGTTAAGTTTGAGATACGGAATATAAAACATATATGTGCCTTCAGAAGTCCAACAGCCCCGAGATCTCAACCGAAACATCAGCAAACAGCCCACAACTTTCCGCCGACTCCCAAAAACAGTCTCTCCGCCAACAACCCGAATTATCGACCGGCTGGCGGAAGGATATCGGCGTTACAGCATTGCGCACGAAGCCATTTTCTCCTCAATTTATCCGGATACGTTTCTGAAGGACGATGGGAAAATGATTGTGCTGCCGTTGGAGGAGAAGTTGAAATTGGACTCAATGCTGGTGCCCACAATGTATAAGTTGATGAAAGAGTTCTTTGTCCCGTACGCAACGATTGCAAAACCGTATAAGGTGAGTTTATGGAACTTTGCAAGGAAAGTATTACTTTTATGGCGGCTCCTACTTTTTGAATGCCTCAAAAAATCCGAAAAATTGTGCTTATCAAGAATATATAAAACTTACAAGGGAAGTACCCGAAGTGCGACGCTCAGATTTTTATAAAAATTGGCATAGATGGAGATTAGAATTTTCTTATTCGATTGCGAACATCCTAGCTCGCGCTTTGCAGAATCCGCCGAGAAAGAAGGGCCGGAACATCGAAAAAAATCTTCAAATGCCGGCGATTTTCCCTGCAAATTCTCTTGATCTTGGCATTCCGTTCCAGGAGAAAAATATTTTTTTTCGCAAGAAATTTTTTCTTGATAATGTTCAAGACTATTTTGTTGCTTTTATGTGGAATATGGTGTTATTTTCACTTTTTTACACTTGATTATAGCGCTATTAATTGGATTGTCGCCATCCGAGGGGTAAAATGTTTCGTCCTTTGACGAATTTATACAGTTTTTCCTCTGCTGATGGGCAAACCACTCTAATAGTTGCTTTAAAGCTGTTTAGGAGACATGCAAACGTTCTACGGTCGCGTATGAACATAATATTAAAGTAAGTGTTACAAAAACTTTATTATTTTTCAGTGAGCAAATTCTGAACAACAACAACAGCGAATGTATACCATCGGAACACTGACGAAACACCTTGGGACCTTTACTTTGTTTCTGAAATGGCATAAACTGAAAAATAGTGAAAAAATAAAATGTTTGTAACACTTACCTTATGACTACGTTCCTACGCGACCGTAGAACGTTTGCATGTCTCCTAAACAAATTTAAAGCAACTATTAGAGTGGTTTGCCCATCAGCAGAGGAAAAACTGTATAAATTCGTCAAAGGACGAAACATTTTACCCCTCGGATGGCGACAATCCAATTAATAGCGCTATAATCAAGTGTAAAAAAGTGAAAATAACACCATATTCCACATAAAAGCAACAAAATAGTCTTGAACATTATCAAGAAAAAATTTCTTGCGAAAAAAAATATTTTTCTCTTGGAACGGAATGCCAAGATCAAGAGCATTTGCAGGGAAATTCGCCGGCATTTGAAGATTTTTTTCGATGTTCCGGCCCTTCTTTCTCGGCGGATTCTGCAAAGCGCGAGCTAGGATGTTCGCAATCGAATAAGAAAATTCTAATCTCCATCTATGCCAATTTTTATAAAAATCTGAGCGTCGCACTTCGGGTACTTCCCTTGTTAGTTGCCCAATTTTGGGTTTAAGGGTCGAAAATGCCCCAAAACTGGCTGAATTTCACTATAAAGGGTGCAGGCATTCCAACAAAAAAGCCATCAAAATAACGGAGAATCATTGGATTTGACGGTGAAGCAAGTATAATATACAAAAGTTTCCCTCTAAAAAAGTTTTTTAAGGATTTCTTTACAATTGTTCCGCGTAACGCTGTCTTTTCCAAGTCTAATTGTACAATTTTTATAAGTAACAATCTTTCCCCATGTCTCTCCCTCAACCCAATCCGATTACGAATTTGACTAGCTTGATGAGAGCGCATGTGACGGAGACGAAGCCGTTTTTCAATTCGCAAAAGATTTGGGGATGCTGGGCCAGCCGCCGAACTGTGAAAGTTGTGGAGCAGTAATGGAGGAAAAGAAGGATGCGAACGCACCGGATGGCTTAAAGCGGCGATGTAAAGCCAGGATAATGCTTGAGAACCGGAAATCCAAACGATGCGACCATTCACGGTCGTATAGGAAGCACACATGCTTCGCCAGGACCAAACTCCCCATATGGAAGATACTGGAATTCATTGATCTATGGCTGAAGAAGGCGATTGGGCCCCTTACTGTCGGGAAGTCCTTTTCGACGCTTGCGGGCTTAATGCACAACCTCTGGGCGGCCCTGGTAAAATCGTACAGATAGACGAATCTAAATTCGGCAAGCGAAAATATAATAGGGGGCACCGAGTTGAAGGAAAGTGGGTTTTTGGAGGGGTGGAAGAGGAAAGTGGGGGGAAAACCTTTATGATTCCCGTAGCAAAGCGGAACCGAGCGTACCTGATGACGATACTACAGCATTTTGTTCTGCCGGGAACAACTGTAGTATCGGATTGTTGGAGGACCTATGACTGCCTGCGGGATGAAGGGTTTACTCATTTTTCTGTAAACCATTCCATACATTTCAAAGACCCCGAAACTGGTGCCCACACAAACACCATTGAAAGTTAATGGCGTCACGCCAAGGAAACCGCGGGCACTCATAACAGGAAGGGTGAGTTCTTATGCGGCTACCTAGCCGAATACATCTTTTGAAAGGATGTAGGGCTAGGAACGCAAACCAGTAGTATGATAATGGGGATTCCAGCGCACCCACCCACACCCTCTCGCCCCCTAAAAAAATATTATAGTATTTATTAAAAAAACAAGCTTATTTGATGTCAAAAAATTTGATAAAATGTGTAAGCTTGTAATAGTATGATAATGGGATTCCAGCGCACCCACCCGCACCCTCAAACCCCTAAAAAAAATTTCATAGTATTTATTAAAAAAACAAGCTTATTTCATGTCCAAAAATTTTCCAGGGCACCCACCCGCACCCTGTCCAAAAATTTGATAAGATGTGTAAACTTTGGTAAAAGCCTCTAAACCTCGTCAAGGTATTCACACAATGATAGAGGATTTTTGCTTTAATAGCAGGGAATTTCAACCCAAACTGAGTATTTTAGTTTAAAAAACAAGGAATTTCAACCTGTGCAGACGAATATTTAGGGATTTCAACCATTTAAAGATACAAATGTTATTTAACGGAATTCCAACCGATTATATCACTGATATTGCAAATGTTATTTAACGGGATTCCAACCAATTATATCGAGTTATTACAAAAACAATTACAAGAAAATATAAAAATACTTACCTGAAATTATAAAGACTATTCTATCTTGTAATGCCCAAAGGCTAAAGTATCAACCTTATTTTCTAAAATATACCGTTTAAAACCTGTCGTTTCCGGATTTAATACTAATTTATTTTGCTTTATTGTATGAATTTTATGTAACTTACTTTGAATAATAAACTGCTCTTTTCTTAAAACTTTATTCTTAAACAAACAATCATGAAACTCTTCAATTTTCAACTTTTTAGTAACATTTCTTTTAATACCCTTAGCTTTATTTTTCTCTTCTTCTTCTCCTTCAATTTTATAACTATACTGTTTCGGCCTTAAAGCTACTATTTCCGATAAAAATTTTCCATTTAATTCATCTTTCATTTTACCAATAACTTTTTTATTTTCTTCATTATACAACTTATTTTCTTTAGGATAATCACTAAAATCAAATTCATCCTTCATTTTTTCCATTTCTTCATAAATATCATCACAATAAATTTCATAAATTAAAGAATCCGTATCCTGATAAATTAAATTTTTCTTAAACTCTTCCATCTTATTATAATGAAAATCATACATTAATAATTTACTTAATTCTAATATACTTAATCCTACATAAATAGGCTTATCAAATATTAGCTTAGTATTACTCATTTCAATACTCAATAAATTATCATTAATAATTTTACTATTTTTAAAATTTGGTTTTGCTATCATTTTTCTAGCTTTATTTTCACTATTTACCAATTTGATATCAACCCTATTTCTTATATTTTCCATTGTTTTCCCAAATACACTATTATTCATTAATTTAAAGAAATCTTTTTCAAAATTATTTTTTGCTTTTTTTCTTAAATTAGTATTTAACATTATGTACTTTTCCATCCAATTACTTTCTTTAAAGCTTAAAATTCTATTAATTTTCTTTAATTTCAAACCATGTTCTAAAACTTGTAATAAATTTCTATAATGGATGACATAATTTTCTTTATCATACAATGTATTAACTAATTTCATATTAGAATTTTGACAACAAAATGGAAAATCATTATGCTTATCATGAATATTTTTAGGGTATTCTAAATCTACTTCTAAAATACACCCTTTATTATTATTATTTAAATTTTCAATATAATCTTCAATTTCATCAATTTTAATATTTTCTACATTTTCCTCAAACTTTAACTCATCATATGGCAATTTTTGGATCATACCATATCCATATAAATTATTTGCATCAAAATACATTAAATATTTTGTTTCTTCATCTTTATTATAATTTTTCAAATATTTATTGTTAGCTTTACTATATCTTTTTACTACATTTACAATTCCACCTCTAATTCCCTTTTCCAAAAACAAATACATGTCATAATCTTCAATTGTTTTTAATCTAATTTCACTTATTTTTAACATAGCATCCCAAGCTAATCCTGGGGCTGTATAATACCAAGCAGGATCTAAATTATAATTTTTCATACACACTTTTCTAAAATTTTCAAACACATCCCCTAGTTTTAAAACATCATTAATCATATAAATTTTAGTATAATCTTTTAAATTTTTACATTTTAATTTTTCAAAAACTTCTAAAGCGTATTCATAATCATTTTCACTTACACTTTTATCATTCAATCTATCATAAAACATTTCTCTACTAGGCAACATTTTTTCTTCATATTTTTTAAAACTATCCATATATTCATACATATAAATCCCTTTTCTATTCATTAATTCGAATTCTAAGTTATTTTTATAGTATTGTTTACTAACAATTAGTTGTTCAAGATTTAAATTATTTACTAAATTATCAAGGCTTGATGCCATAAAACTAAATGAATCCAAAAATCTAATATTAAAATCATTCAATTGATAACTAAAACTAATATATTTTTCACTATTATTTGGTATTAAACTTATATCATTTGTTTCCGTAAAATTTTCTAAAATAAGATGACTATCATAGCCTTTTAAATTATGGAAAAATACGGGAATAAAATCGTTTTTTCTTTTTAATAAATTACACCTCTTACAGAGTGGACCACGGTATTTTCCATTAAAATGATTATGATCCCTACATTTACAATTTTTTACACTATATTCTACTTTACATTCAGGACATTCTTTATTTTCATTATATTCTTTCCATTCTTCGTTTGTTAATTTTTCCATTTTTTTATTATTTTCGCTCATTAAATTTCTACATTTTTCAATTAATCTTTCATTAAATATTTTTCCCGCATCATAACCAATATAATTTTCACTATCTATTATTTTTCCTTCTTCATTTACAATTATAAAACTGAAGCCTGATGCAATATGTTTTCCAATATTTTCACTATAAGTAATATTACTATTATTACTAACACTATCTATTTTTTTAATAATACTCTCAAAATCAGCATAAATAACATATGGAATTTTTTGTTGTTTTTTTATATTTTCAAATTTAATATAGTCTTTCTTAGATTTTTGCCAGACTACAGGCTCATTTTTCTCACATTCAATCATGTGGTTTTTATAATTATTTTCTGATTTAAAGTTAACAAAACATCTTCTACATACATAAATTTTACCTTTATGTTTTGTAATTGAACTAACTAATAATCTATTTATATTTTTTACCCAACAATAATGGGCATTATCCTCTTTTTGAATATAAAACAAATCAACAATTCTCTCAAATTTATTTTTACTAACATATAAAGGATAAATCTCACTATTTTCATTACTGAATACATTTATGCAAATATTATTCAATTTTTCAAATTTATTAATGTCCTTAATTTTTACAGGAAAGCTAATATTACCAAAATTTAATTCATTTTCATATCGTCTATATTTAGACACCCTTTGTGCATCTTTTTCTACTGGATGTAATGCTGATAAAATTGCCCACATAAAACACTTATTATCATTATTTTTAACATTTATAATAGCGTTCTTATTTTTTACAAAATCATCCAATGCAATATAACTGCTACCTTTAAAACTTTTATATCTATTTTGAGTCATACATAAACTATTTATTCTACTCAAACTCCATCCACTTCCTCGTACTTGTAAATTTTCTAAATTATTTCTTAATTCACTACAACAATTTTTATAAAAATCGAGTCTACTATCTTCAGCTAATAAAACATTTGATTTTGTATTAACATAAAATTTCTGGTTTTGTTCACCTATTTTGTTCATCTCTATCTCTAAAGTAAAATTAATTTTAACATTTTTATTGATAATATCCTTAATAATTTTATTTTGTTTTTTATTGAAAAATTTATCCAACATTCTATCCAAAATTTTAATAAAATAATCCATGTTTCTTTTTTCAATTTTTTCCAAATATTCATCATAGTTGATATCGTTATTCTCATTCTCATACACAGTTTGCCTAATAGTATTTTTCCATTCCTTATAATTTTCAAATACACTATTATCAAATTTAAAAACATCATTAACATTAACCTCAGGAATAAATTTTACAAACTCAATCTCATTTTTATTATATCTTAAGTCGTTATCAATTCTATTTTCCTCATTTCTTAGAAAATTAATCATTTCACTTTTAGTCATACCCCTAATTTTTTTATACCCCAAAACTTTTAATTCTGAGCATTTAGATCTAAGTTGATCTCTTGACATGTTTTCGAGACCCTCCATTTATAAAGAAAAAAATTTTTAAATAAATTAAAAAATGGTAACGCAACGAATTACAACAATTTCCCAAAAATAAAACCCTTTTCCAACAAAAATAAGCAACCGTCTGTTAGATCAAAATCAATGAAGAATGGACGATCCTTTTTGGCCACATCATGAATAATTTATTGCTTCCAAAACGATGAATCATTATATCTCTTTGAAAAAAATATCCTAGGTGTTAAAAATTAATACAGTATTTTCTGATATATTTCCATTTTGAACTTCTATCAGAATTTAATCTTTTCGTACTGGAATCAAACTTTTGAAAAATAGCACTACTAATTTTTAAAATTTCAAAATAATTATCACGATCAAAATTTGTAACCAGTAAAAAATTTAAATCTTTTTTAAATAATAATTCAAGTAATCCAATTGTTAAATTATAAGTTTTGTCTTCTACTATCAAAGTTTTGTCATCAAATTCAATTATTTTATTCCCAATAGTAAAAATATTTTTATTGAAACGTACTGAATAACCAGCTCTGCTAAAATTTGAATTACTATTTAAATAATCTAAAATAAAGTTTAATTTTTTTAGTTCTTCTTTATTTTTAACCTTTATCAACATTTTTTAATCTTAATTTTAAGAGAACAAATAAGTTAACCGAACATTTAACAATTTTATTATTCTCATTTATTATGGATAATTTTAGATGTTTTGGATTTCCGATTAGATCATGATATAATAAATTTAACGGTTCATAATCAATTCCCAAAGTTTCATTAAAACGATGTAGTATACTTAATTTCTCAGTATTCAAATAGCTGTCTTCAATCCAATTACACGATAAAAATACATCTTTTGAAAAAATTAATTTATTTTGTGCAACTTTTTTTCCAGCGGTCAATAATTCTTTATTAAATCCTAAATCAATTGAATCAATTGGAGTAAAATCGATTTTATAGTCTTTAGGCATTTTTATATGTACAAAACCCTCATCATCCAACGATGCACTTAAAAAATTCATATCTTCTTTAACATATATTTGATTTTTAATAGCACGAATTAAATTGTTGAAATCATAAAAACCTGTTGGAATTTTAAGTTTTATATCTTCTTCTTTATACCGATAATTAAATGTATTATTTTTGGAAGTAATTTCTATATCCTCTAGTATTATTTCACCGTCTATTTTAACTAAACTAAATTCATAATCACCATTCATTAGATCATTGTATTTAAAATTATTATTATTTGAGCATAGATTTAGATGTAGGTATTTCATTTATTTAGGGATATTTTTGGAAATTGTAAAAGTGTAATTTTTTTAACGTCTTTACAAACAGATGTTAAAATAGTATTAGACACTTCTTTTTTAACAGTTTTTTCAATAGTTTCAGTATCAGAATCGTAGAATAATTCAAATCCCATTTATAAAAATAAAAAAATTGAAAAAAATTTCCTTAATAAATGATCGACGTTGAGAACTATTCACAAACTATTGATATTGAAAAAGATAAGAAGTATTATGTACTAATTTTAACAATTAAAAAAGATACTAACAATACTTTGAAATTAAAATCTGAAAACTGTTACACTAATAGTATAATAAGTCATTTATCAATTAATAATGATGATAATACAATTTATTCCATAAAATATTGTTTTGAAACTGAAACAACAAACAAAATAATAATTGATTTCAGGAGAGATAACATTTTTTATCTAAATCTAAAACTTAAAGGTCATAAAAATACTCAAATTAGTTCTTCTGCATATTATAATAAGAAATTTGTAAATGATAATGGATTAGAATTGACAAAACGTCTAAAACCAAACAATATTAGAATTGAATTTAAACCAATAGAAAAAACAATTAAAGAACAATTTGAAGAACACAAAACTGAAATCGAAAATCAAATTAAAGAATTAGAAAATAAATTTAACATAAGAATTTTTGATTTAGAACATAAAGTTGAAAGTGGAGGATTTTTTTGTACAACTGGAATTCCCACAGATATTCATAAAATTGATGAAAAAGAAGAAAATTATGAAGATTTTTTAGATAACAAAGATGGTACACATATAGTTGAAGAATCAAAATTTTGCTAATCTAATTTTATTACACTATTATAAACTTTTAAAAACGATCCTATGTAAAAAAAATAAAAAAATATTACATGATTTATTTTTTATCTATACTCTATCGTTTTGAAAACGACTATTATTAAATTTTATTATTTTTTTACAGATTTTTACAGATAGTTTAATTTAAAACATAGTAAAATATTTTTATAAATTTTTTTGGAGAAAACGTCTTTAAATTATTTTAAAATGTTAGCTTCATCTTCCCAACTATTGAATTTATCAGGATAACCATACCATTTTACTAATACTTCCTTTTTTCCATTATTTGTTCTCTTTTTTAGAATCTTTTCCACTTTGAATACGTCTGATTTATTATCAAATAATGTTAATTCTTCATTATAATATTTTCCTTTTATTATCTCATTTGATAAATCTGCTAATTCATAAGTAATTGGATTAGAATTGTGTACTTTGTATATATAACAAATATTTCAGTTGTATAATTAGGTAAATAGCCTTTATCAAATTTTGATTTATATTTTGTGATTCTTACCTTATCTCCTTTTTTGAAAACCTTTTTACAATTGTTTACCTCTTTTTCAGGAAATAGATTTTTGTGCACAATGGCTTTATTTTCCTTCAAACTAGCTTTAATTGGACTCATTTTTATTGATCTATGGTATCCGTTGTTGTAATTACTGACCAAATCATCCAATATTTCAATCCATTTATGATTATTATTTTGAGTAAATATTTTGTACATTTTTTCTTTTAAAGTACGATTAAATCGTTCAACAATCTGAGCTTTTAATTCTGATTCAGTCGAAAAATGATTAATATTATTTTTAGTGCATAAATCTTTGAATTTACTATTATAGAACTCTTTTCCTTTATCTGTTTGTATTTTTGTTGGTTTTCTATTTCTGAATACACTTAAAAAACCGTTTACTATCTCATCAGCTGATTTATTTTTTATTTTGATAGCCCACGCAAATTTACTAAAACAGTCGATAATTGTCAACAAATATTTAAATCCATTATTTTCTTTAGCATATGGAATCATTTCTACTAAATCAGCCTGCCATTGTTCATCAATATCATGAATATACACTCGTTCTCGCTTAAAATTTTTTCTAATCGGTTTATGTAAAGTATAAGTATCCTGTTGATTTAGAAAATTTTCAACTTCTTTTTGTGTTTTATTGGTTTTTCTCATCATATCCTGGATTCCTGAATAGCCAGTTTTTGGATTGTAGTAGGTTTTGCATAAAATACACTTACAATTATTATGATTAGGATTATTGTTGTCATTGTTATTTCTGCGAACATTGGAATTCATTTGAAATTTTTTCTATTTATATAAATGAAAAACATTGATTTTACAATTAAGAAATTTTATCCAAAAAGAAACAATATTAATCTATTACCTGAATCAATAAGGGCATGTATTATTGGTGAATCAGGATGTGGAAAAACTAACCTAATGATGAATTTATTGTTCAATAATCTTAATGATGTTGAATTTTTAGACTACAATAATTTGTACATATTTTCAACATCTTTACATCAACCAATCTATCAATTTATTGTCAATGCTTTAGTAAATAATCTGAGCAAAAAAGAAATAATCCAATGTATTGAAACTCAAAATTATACTATTGATGATATTGAAAGAGAGAAATGGATAAAAATACACTGTTTTGATAATGGTGATGAAATACCAAATCCTCAAGAAATTGATCCTAATCTAAAGACATTAATGATTTTTGATGATGTAATTGATGAAAAACAAAATAATCTAGAAAAATATTATACAAAAGGAAGACATAATAATATTGATTGTTTTTATTTGTCACAAAATTATATTAAATTACCCAAAAATTCCATTAGACAAAACACCAATTTATTCATTTTATTTGAACAAGGAGAGAAAGATTTATTACATTTTTTCAAAGATCATTGTAAAGGAATTAGCAGAAAAGAATTCAATAATTTATGTAATGAAAGTTGGGAAGAAGATTTTGGATTTGTTACATTAAATAAAAGTTGTAAAACAAATGAGGGAAGATTTAGGAAGAATTTGGATGAGTTTTTTATTCCAAAAAAATTTTAGTTTTTTTTTTCCTCTAATAAATGGATTTGGAAATTGTCAACGTAGATGATAAAAGTTTTAATACTAATAATACAAATAATATTTTAAAAGTTAATAATTCAATTACAAAAATTAATAATGCTATATTGTATCCTACTGTTGGATCAGATTTGAATAAAAATGGAAAAATAGAATTTATTATTGAACAACAAAATGAATTTTTAAACTTATCTAAAAGTTACTTATATTTAGAATGCGAAATGAGCGATATTGTCGGTGATATTACACTAGTTAACAATGCTCCACTATTTTTATTTGAAAAAATTAGTTATAATATGAATAATACTGAAATTGAATGTATAAATGATCCAGGAAGAAACAGTTTAATGAAAGGAATTTTATCATATTCAACTAATTTAAGTATGCGTAATACTTTTGGCTGGGTATTGGAAGGAAATGCTTTTTTAAGTAAAATTGCTACATATAATACAACAAGAAAGGGGAAATTAAGCTTTATGATTCCTATGTCACATATTTTTGGATTTTTTGAAACGTATAATAAAATTATTCATGGATTTAGACATAAGTTGACATTTTTCAGAACTGTGAATAGTAATTTTTTTGAAACAACTGACCCAAAAGTATCATCTGCTACTGTGAAAATAAGTAAAATGTGTTGGAAAATTCCTCAAATTACACCATCAATTGATTTGATTAATAGATTTGTTCGTTTTAACAGTTTTGCATTTTATAAGCGAGATTTTGAAGAATTTGCCATGCCTTATGGTAATAAAGAATTTACTGTAAAATTGGGGACAAAATATGATAAAGTTAAGTATTTAATTATTGGATTTCAAACAAACCGAGAGGATAATATGTTAAATTGTGCTAAATTTGATCATTGTAATTTAAAGAAAATAAATGTCGATATTAATTTTGAAAAGTATCCGAATGAAGCATTGGATTGTGATTTTTCGGTTAATAATGCAGTTGAACACTTTGTTAATGCTGAAAATTTCAAAAAATCTTATTATAATTGTAACAGTACTTATTTTATGGATTTGGACAACTATTGTAAGTATTATCCATTGTTTGTAATTGATACTAATGCTCAAAAAGAGGACAAAAATCCTGATATTACAATTAAAGCTAAATTTGAAAATTCTATTCCTAAAAATACTGTTTGTTATTGTTTGATTATCAGTGATTGTATTATTACAGTATGAAAATAATAAAATAATACGCAAATTTTTAAACTATTTTTACCTTATTTATCTTTGAACTTTGATATTTGATCACAAAAAGCGAGAAGAAGAGAGAAACTGATTAAAATGCGAAAAATCGTCGGCCAGGCGGGCGCTGAAGCAGAGAAAAACGGAGAGAGATTTGAAAAAAATTATCTCAAAAAAATTATTCATTGATGCATAAATTAACTTCAAGGCCTTATAACTTGCTTTAAAGTTGACCGTTTTTGATGAAATTTTTTTTACGTCAATTTAAGAAAAAGTGTCCACCCTCATTTTAATTTTATGTCTAAATGTCGATTTTGAAAGTTATTATTTTTATACGGCATTTAAAGGCATTTATTGGCATCTTTTGGAATTTTTGGGCATTGTTAAATTAATTTTAAAAATTCTCTGTCACTGTCAACCAAAGTTTACACATTTTATCAAGTTTTTGGACAGGGTGCGGGTGGGTGCCCTGGAAAATTTTTGGACATGAAATAAGCTTGTTTTTTTAATAAATACTATGAAATTTTTTTTAGGGGTTTGAGGGTGCGGGTGGGTGCGCTGGAATCCCATTATCATACTATTACAAGCTTACACATTTTATCAAATTTTTTGACATCAAATAAGCTTGTTTTTTTAATAAATACTATAATATTTTTTTAGGGGGCGAGAGGGTGTGGGTGGGTGCGCTGGAATCCCCATTATCATACTACTCAAACCCGTTCCTTGAGTTTTGCACCCACGCGGCCCAACTTTACATTTGTAAACCTGTGAAAAATTAAGCGGAAAGGGGTTTATATAGGACCTTAAGCCAACATCCGATTTATTTTTCACCCATAGAAACCTAAATTGGGCAGCTAATTTTTACATATTCTTGATCAGTACAATTTTTCGGATTTTTGACATATGCCCCGTCGAAAAGTAGGAGCCACCATAAATGTACCTTCGTCGTTAAATTGACAAAAAACATCTTTGAGCTGTTGAATCGAGCTACTTATAGTAAATTTCAATTTCAGTTCGACCTTTTAATGAGGTTCATGCAGAATTTCCATCAACTGGAATGCGCGTATTTATCGGCGGTTCTATTCCCGGACCGTGAATGTGCCATGGCCCTCTCGCGGCACGATTATACCGACAAAGAACACCTCGACTTCCGGTTCAAGAATGTGAAAAACAAGGAGGAAAGTCTCAAGTAAGCCACGAAAATAAGGTTAGAGGTGTATTTGTCATTTCAGGACATTTGAGCCAGTCAGATTGAGGTTCCAACGACTAATCAAGAAAGTCAAAAGCATCCAGATGAGCGAGTTTGAGTTTTTGTGTTTGGTCGGTATCGTTACTAGTGGAGAAGGTGAGTTTTTTGTGTTGACCAAAAAAATTCTAGATCTCAAAATTATTTCGGCAAGTCTTGGGTAGTCAAGAAAAAACAAAATTACTTTATCGATCTGACCCCGTATCCTTTTCAGTTATCAACCGGCTTGACATCCCCGAAGCCTACCGCGAGCGCAACAACATCTTCAACGAGCTTTACGAGAACTGCAAAGAGAACTACGATAATCCGGACCTTCGGTTCGGCAAATTATTGCTGTTGATTCGGGACTGCGAAGAGCTGTCTTCGGTATTCAAAGAGTGCGTCTTTATGGCCATGTTTTTGGACGACATTTACAAGGACACAATTGATCGGATACGGGCTATCACTGAGAAATTAACCTTGTAATTGTGACTGTTTGTGTAATTTTGAGAATATTTGCAAACTTACGGATATTAAATATTCTATTTATCAAGTAAGGATTTTTGGAAACAGGTGTCATCGAAACACAAAATGAATCGATACGAGACCTAGAATAGGTGGAAACTCCAAAAAATTTTGTATGAGGTGCCTACGAGGCCTGACAAAGCGTTGGGTGCTCGGCGAACGCTCGGCCGACGCTCGGCGAACTCTCAGCGGAGAGTTGTCGAAGGCTTGCAATATTCACACTTTTTTAACTTTAGCAACTATTAACGTTAGTTTCCTATATAACCTGAGTTATGTATTTTAACATATGAAGGACCAAAATTTGCGGCAAAAAAGGAAGATCCGAAAGTTTTGGTTAGATATTATTGCTGTGAGTGTATGTAAAGTACCCAAAATAGGTGGGAAGCTATCCTAGGACCTAATCAATACATTATTATTTCCACTAGCTAAGCCTCTCCTAGCCCCTCCTATGCAAACAATGACAAATCGAGACGGCTCAAAGTATCGTCTACCCGGAATTGTAGCGTCAAAAAATATATCCCCAAAATTGCGAAATATGCGTTCTTTGGCGCACTCACGGAACACGACACGCTTCAAAGTCACAAAATTTGGAGAATTTCCTTTTGTTTTTTATCGATTGTATGTTTCGTGTTCCGTATTAAGGCGTTAAAAAGGAGAGTGCAAAAAGTCTGATCGGGAGTATAAAAAGCAGAGCAAAACATTACGAGACATGCGGGGAAAGTTTAAGAATGCTGATGTCACTTTTAGCAGGCGGTTTTGGGTTTTTTTTGGGTAAAATACGATATGTATCTTGTTATTTATATTATAATACAGGCTTTCCCGATTTGCTCATTTGTTATCTGTTCGTTAGGAAGTGCTCTTCCAATTGTCGCGCCTTATCAACAAAAAAGCTCATAACTTGTTACACACCGATTAAGTTTGCAATCTTAGGAAGTTTTTCTTGGATTGATTAAGTCTTTGCCAACTTTTCCGCGTTTAAGATGGGCGTGATGACGAAAAAAGCGATCAAAAGTCTCCGCCGAATACAGTACCTTCCGCGTCGGCGGAGAAAAAAACCTTTCTATGCAAAAAACCGCCCATATTCGTGTCTCTACCGCAAAAAGATTTTTTTGAATACTTTGACTGAGCGCCAAGAAATCGGCAAGGACTTTCCGCGGCATTTCTCTGGACACCCTGTACATTCATTTAATTTTTGCAGCACCCATAAGAATTAGAAAATGCTCTTCTTACTTCTTTGTTTATCTTTGTTTATTTTGCTACTCTTCTACAACTTTCACTGGAAGCGCCGCAATTTCCCACCAGGCCCAGCGCCTCTTCCAATCCTTGGAAACCTTCTTCAACTCGCTCGTCAGACCCGCTGGGAGAGCAAATTCATCGAATGGAGGAATGAATACGGCCCAGTCTACACTTACTGGCTAGGCGAAAAGCCTTTTATTGCCATCAACACCTATGACACAATGTTCAAGTACTTTGTAAAGCAAGCCGACGTCTTCTCGGACCGTCATCAAGTCCCAAGTCTAATGAAATTGGTGCGAGGCGGGCCGTACGGAATTATTTTGTCCAATGGTGAGGCGTGGAGTGAACAACGGAGATTTGCGTTGCGAGTATTGCGAGACTTTGGAATGGGGAAAAATCAGATGGAGGAGAGAGTAAGCTCTTTTGTGGATGATGGAGATGGCTTTAGATCATGGTTGAGCTTCAATGGCTTTTTGAGAAAGTAAATCCGGAACTTGGAGCCGAAGAAATGGACTTCTTCAAGTACTCGGACATTGCTGTCGGCTCTGTCATCAATGCAGTTGTGAGTGGATACAGATTCACAGATGTAAGTTATTATTGCTTTCAAATAAAGTATTTTCTTATGCCACTCATTGTGAATTAAGATATCGCTAAGCTTGATTATGTCTTATATCTTACAGGGGAAGTACCCCAAGCGCGACGCTCAGATTTTGATAAAACTTGACACATATTTAGAATAATTTTTAAAAAAATATATGCGAGAATCCTATAATAGCTTGCGCTTTGCAGAAACAGCCGAGATTTTTAGATCCAAAGTTGGCGAAAATTTAGGACTTTTTGCTGAACTTCGGCACGAAAATTAAACAAAATTTGCAGACCCATTTCTACCGTAAAGGGTAATGTTTCCACAAAAAATCAATTTTTTTTGCACGAAACTGCCAAAGTTATGGTCAAAAATCGTTTTTCTCTCTGACCTCTCTGCATTAAGAGTACTCTCTCCGCGGCAAATATAATTCAATATCTCGGCTTTGCCTTCAAAACGCGAGCTAAAACTTTGAGGAATTGATATTTAGTCTGTGCCCAAAGCGTGTGCGAAATTTAAAGAAAATCTGAGCGTCGCACTTGGGGTACTTTCCGTGTAAGATAGATAGAGCTGGGGCCAGAAAAAGGAAGTTTTAACGACATGGCTTGTTATGACACTAAGCATAGCTTAATTCAGGGTCGTGAAGAGGAATTCCTCAAAATGAAAGACCTCACGACACGGATGGTGAACAGTTTCATGAACCCTCTGACACAACTTGTCTTCCGCAACCTTTTCCTGCTAAAGGTCCCACTAATCCGAAACAAGGCCGTTGACGCGTTGGGCGTATTGAAACAGCTCTTCTCCTACATCGAGCAGCAAGTTCAACGACATATCAACGAAAACGATTACAATCAAATCGAAGAGCCCAATGATTTCATCGACGCCTATTTAATGGAATGCCGGCGGCGTGAGGGGGAGAGCGGAGAGACGGGGAACTTCCACCTGGACAATTTGAAAAATATTTGTTTGGACTTGTGGACAGCGGGGCAAGAGACAACTTCAGCGACGACCACCTGGATCATCGCTTTGATGATTCACTTCCCAGAGATTCAGGAGAAAATGCAGAAGGAGCTGGATACGGTGATTGGGAGTAAGAGAATCATCAATTCAACTGATCGGCCGGGATTGGTTTACATACAAGCGGTGATTTTGGTAAGCTATACATCTAGAATTGATGTAATCTTTGCTATTTCACGTTTAGTAAGCGTACACATCTAATTTTCCAAAGTATATACCCATTTTAACACCAGCAAGTAAAAATTTTTAACTTCTAGTACAATATTGGGCAGGGCGAGCAGCAGACATATTTTTTCTGCAGCCTTGCCATACAAGGTGTAAAAGCGCAATTTCTGAGCTTCAAAACCGTATGTTCAATATATCTCGTAATGCGTTTCAAAGCTCACAGGAATTCCCACAAATCGCCGACCCAAAAATACACAAGACTTATGGGACACCCTAATAATATAATATTATTTTGTATGGTATATCATTTCAGGAAAGTCTTCGCTACAGCAATCTCCTAGCCCAAAATATCCCAAGAGTGGTTAATGAGGACGTAGATATTGAAGGGTACCATGTGAAGAAAGGGACAATTGTAATCCCACAAATCTCAGTGCTTATGAGAGACCCTAAGGTAAAGATTTTCCCTTTCAAAGAATTAAACAAAAGACAAGGAAAACATTTTTTCAAGTCAAATCAAAAAAAGTTGAAAGTCTTTTCTACACATCTGATTTTTCAGGCCTTCCCCAACCCCGATTCCATGAATCCCGAGCGATTTATAAATTCAGACGGGACACTGAAACACATCGACGAATTCCTTCCATTCTCCGTGGGCCGCAGAGCCTGTCCTGGCGAAGGAATGGCCAGAATGGAGCTGTTCTTACTCATTGCCAACCTCTTCAACCAGTACAAGTTCTCGTCAGGAAAGAAGGCGCCGGAATTAGTCAAAGTTTCCGCTGCCTCAACAATGATCAAGCCGTACAAATGCAAGGTTGAGGCGCGTTGAATATTGTTGTCGATTTGATAGTTACAGTGGTATGGCAACTTTACTTGATAGCAGTTATGGTATGGCAACTTTTAACGTATAAAACTGGAAAAGTTGACTAGAAACAAAAAATTTTTCTGGTTCACCCAAATACAATACAGTATTACATTCTCCCCATCAGATCTCGAAGTTGATCAATTTTCCCCTTGTAACCATCATCTGTCACAATTCCGAGATAAACGCATTCCGTAAACGTTAACGCCGCCAATTCCACATCTCGATTTAGTAGGAACATTTGGCCAAATCGAATATCCGCATCGGGCAATGTCTTCTTCTGACAGTAATTATGTAGCTCTTTGAGCAGCTGATCTCTCTCTTCTAGGGCTTTCTCGCAGTCGGTTCGGTTGTAAACTGAAATATTTGGTTATCTAACCATTTGCAAAAAACTGCGCTTGCCTTCATCGTTGTTGATTACTCCTAGCACACCAATCATTTCAGTTACATCCAGCCGAAGTCTCTTCATTTTTTGTGACATTCGTTTTAGTCGTTTTCCATAGGGTGTAAAAGCCCTAAAAATGCCGACTGTCACATAAAGTCCAACAGTCTGCGTCGCGACACTTGCGGGCAACCACTTTGCGGGTAGCCAACATTTTTTTGATTAGAATTACGATTCCTTCCCGTAATATACGTAGTACGATAGAAATTTTACATTGACAACTCCCTGGTACTGATAAGTACACAAATCTATTAAATTCATCCACTCCTTTCAATGCTATGGAAGTTTGTTTTCCAAAAATGGTAAAAAATGCCTGGATAAGCTTATGATAACTATTCAAGCCACTTGTACACCGGGAAACTTAATCCGCAACATCTAATCGTCAAGCCCATCGTTTGAATTTCCAGTTGTAAGCAAATTTAGGCTAATTTCATAACATGCCCGCAGAATCTCCGCGGTTTTTCAAGCTGCCCGCAAAGTGGTTGCCCGCAAGTGTGGGCCCGCCCTGTAAATTTTTTAGTGGCCAGGATCATAGCATTTTCTCCGAAAACATTGGCAACTGACTTACTCTCTGATGTCTACGTCGTCTTCTCTATCCGAAAATTTGATGTTTTTATAGCGAATGAAATGATTGTGAGAGTTGGCGAGGCGATCGTCCGCTTCCTCCGGGAAATGGACCGAGGTGAGGTAGGCGCGGTCCATTTGAATAAAGCGTTGCATGAAGATCATGGTTAGGTCTTTCTAAAAGAATACTGCATTATTAGCCTGTCGAAAAAATAGTTAACGCTCTGTCGCATCAAAAATCGCATCGCCAAAAAAAATTGTATCGCGACAAAACCAAATTGATTTTCAATTCAGCGACGCGATTGGCGCAACGAAATTGCGCTAACTATTTTCCCGACAGACTGATAAAAACTTTGAAAAATGAAGCTCACCTTATCCTCGCTCTCCATCCGCATATACGGCCAGAAAAAGTCCCTGAGCATCACGTAAATGTTCGGCAATAGGGCTTTATCCAACTTGATTTTTTCGTAGATGGGAATCTCAACCATTGGGACGGCATCCGAAAAAGTGAGCTCTGGAAACATCGCAGCGAATATGGATTTGTGAGCGGTGACATACATCTTGTACCCCTCCATTAGACGGTCCAAAATAGGGCGATTTGGGGGATTCGGCCGCGTTCTTTTTGGCGCCGCAATAGAGCTTATGATATTTCGGTTTCTGTCGCGGACCAGTTGGACTTCTGGAAGCAAAAATATTGATAGGAAACGTAAAAAAAGACAGCTATAGTTATCAATATGCTTACTTTCCTCTTTCATGCCGGCTTCCAAACATTTCTCAAATCGGCATTTCCGGCAAAAGTTTCGAATCTCTGAAATATTGAGATTTCGTCAACGAGTGGGCGATGTTACGAAACATTTGTCATCGTTCAGCTATCTCGAGCCAATCCTACCTGACGTAATTTCCCTCCGCTTTTCATGCATACATTTGTACTTCTTTTTCTCTGCAACCGTTCGGCGAAAAAACGCACCACCTGAAAAATTAGAATTTTTTTACCCTTTGGCTTTCTCTTTAAAAATTTTAACCCCCCCCCCCCCTTTAAAGCTGAAACTGCTTAACATGGCTTACAAAGATAGCAATCTCATTTGTTCTTTCAAAATCATCAAACTTTGAGCCGTGCACTAGCAAGGCTCAAAGTTTGATTTCCGAGCAAAGTTTATATTATAATTGGTGACTTACAAGCTCTACAAGACTGCACCCCAAACAACTCTCCGCTCGAGGGAGCGCCACAAACTTTGCAATCATACGGACCATCCGATCTGACAAGTTTGCTAGTACTGCTCGCTGGCATCAAAGAAGAGTCGGATTCGAAGATGTTTGAGTCCATTTTTGTTGAAGAAGGAAAATTTGTCTCAAAAAAAGAACAAAAATCTCATTGTCAGCAAAGCCTAATCTGATCCTGTAAATTGAAACTGGACTTATAAGGACTTAAAATAGGCTTAAAAAGACGAACTTTATCATGCTTTTGGAGGAGAATAAAGGGTTAAAAATAGCAGCATAAACCCAACCTAGGTCTCACAATCAGTAGCCTCAGTAGTCGGAAAACTTCTGTTTATTTTCTCTCAATTTCACGCTTCTCTTAAGCAAAATCGATTGAAAACAATACGAAACCCAAAAGAAAAGCCATCTCTGCTTCGAACAGAAACTATAAAAGTTCCTTCTAACATAGAAAAAATGAAATTTTGCTGAACCCTAATTAACTGTAATAAAAAGTCTGACTTCCCGTACGCTCATAAATGTGAGCTCCAAAAAAGATTCGGTTTAATGAAGACACAGTGTGTTCTTATCAAAAAGAAAAGAGAAAAAAAGATGGCAAAGTTTGCTGTCTCATAGGATGTGATAAAAGAGCGCAATGGCAACTTGGGGATAGGTTTTTGGGGATAATTTTAATAGCTTTCTTGGCACACCACTCACATTTGGGGGAAGATACGCTACTCATAGCTAAAAAAGATTCAGAACATATCAAAGCAGAGCCATTGCCAGTCTCCGCCAAGCCTCCGCTTGACCTTCGCCAAGTTCCCGACTGATCGATGGGCTTTAACTCTAGCCCCCGCTAAACGTTCACCATGTACTTATCTAGTATCTAGATATAGTGCGGACCCAGGCTGCGACTTTGACAAAAAATCCTTCTAAAGTGGGGGATCTGATCCAGGGACAAAAAACGTACCATTTTGCATCCGGGAAGTATCAAAAATGTGGCCAAATTCTTCCCTCTCCAAGTGAGAAAACTTCGTTTTGAAGGGCGCGCCCTTTTTCCTCACAAAAAAGAGCGGGCGCGCTTTTGAAATCTGAGTTTTTTCACCTGGAAAGGGAGGTATTTTGCCCCATTTTTTGATGCTTCCTGGATGAAAAATGGTAGGTTTTTTGCCACTGGATCAGGCCCCCTACTGTAGTATACTTCATAACTCGAAAAAACTTCAATTTCTAGAAATAATTTATCATGATCCAACACTTTTTACAATTTCTCCAGCAACTCCCTCAGCTGATCGATTTTTTCTTTGTAGCCGTCGTCAGTCACCATTCCCAAATAAATGCACTCCCAAAACGTTAATGCGACTAGCTCCACGTCTCTGTTCAGCAAGAGTAACTGGCCAAACCGAATGTCCGAGTCGGGAAAGCCTTTCCTTCGGATGTAGCTGTGCAACTCTTTCAGCAGCTGACCCCTCTCTTCCAGGGCTTGCTTACAACTTGTTCGGATGTAAACTGGAATTATCGTATGTTTGGGAAGTTTGCGACTAATTGTAAAGACACTTTAGTAACAATGGGTTCTTTTTTTTTAACCAGGGAAATACCCCAAGTGCGACGCTCAGATTTTGATGAGACTTGGCACAAATTTAGAACAATTTTTCTTAAAATATATGCGAGAATGCTAGCTCGCGCTTTGCAGAAACAACCGAGATTTTTAGATAGAAATTCGACGAAAATTGCGGACTTTTTGCCAAATTTCGGCACGAAAAGTTTCATACCTATTTCTACCGTAAAGCGTAATGTTCCTACAAAAAATCAATTTTTTCCGCGCGAAACTAGCGAAGTTATGGCCAAACAGCGTTTTTCTCTCTGACCGCTCTCCGCGTTTGGCGTACTCTCTTGGCGGCAAAGACGGTTCAGTATCGCGGTGGCGCTTGCAAAGCGCGAGCTCAAACTTTCAAGAATTGATACCTAGTTCATGACATGTGTGCAAAATTTAAAGAAAATCTGAGCGTCCCACTTGGGGTACTTTCCTTGTAAGCATACGCTATATTTATCAAACGGTCACCTGCCTTCTTCACAATTTAGAATCCCCATAACTCCCACCATTTCCGCCACATCCAGCCGGAGTTTCTTCACTTTTTTGCATAACCTTCTCATCCGTTTTCCATAGGGTGTAAAGGCCCTAAAAATATCAAGTTTTGCGTACGTATGGATCAATCTCAAAACCGTTACTTATGAATTACTATATACCCCGTAAGATTATGGTCCATGATCTTCCTAAAGTCATCCTCTTCCTCCGCGAACTTGATGTTCTTGTAGCGCATGAAGTGGTTGTGCGAGTTGGCTATCCGATCGTCCGCATCCTCCGGGAAGTAGACCGACGTCAGGTAGGCGCGGTCCATTTGGATGAAGCGCCGTATGAAGATCTTGGAGACATCTTTCTGAATGGAATACAGTATTATTACCTTCACTATTGAATACAGTATTCCTAATGCTCACTTTGTCCGCGCTCGCCATCTTCGCCGCGTACGGCGAAAAGAAGTCTCTGAGCACGATGTAAATGTTCGGCATGATGGCCTTGTCCAGTTGTAATTTCTCAAAGATTGGGATCTCAACCATCGGAGCGGCATCCGCAAACGTGAGTTCTGGGTACATTGCAGCGAATATTGACTTGTGAGCGTTGGTATACAACTTGTAACCCTCCATGAGACGGTCCAAAATACGAGGCTCCGGAGGGCTCGGCCATATTTTTTTTGACGTCGCAATTGAACTTATGATGTTTCGAGTCTTGTCACGGGTCAGTTGGACTTCTTAAGAAATACATACGTATGTAGTGTACATAATGAACTTTATGCTGTTATCTTTGTAGTAAAAACTACTTACTCTCTGCCCTCATTCCGGCTTTTAAACACTTGTCGAATCGGCATTTCCGGCAAAAGTTTCGAATCTCTGAAATATCCAAATTTCATCATCGAGTGGGCGATGTTACGAAACATTTGTCATCGTTCAGCTATCTCGAGCCTATCCTACCTGACGTAATTTCCCTCCGCTTTTCATGATTACATCTGTACTTCTTTTTCTCCGCAACCGTCCGGCGAAAAAATGCACCGCCTGAAAAATTGGGAAATGTGTTCGTATAACATTTGGCTCTCTTTTTAGAACAGATAAGCTAACAAGGAAAGTATTACGCTTTTTCAAAAGTGCAGACACATTTTGTCGTGGGCCGCACCGTGCACAAAACCCCCTTTTGCGGGGTGCATTTTGATCTTTTGCACTGTGCAACCGGATATCGCTGCGACGCAAGCTTTTCTCAACGGAGCCGGCGCGAATTTTTTTGAAATTGCACAGTGCAAAATGTTTCGAATCGGATCGCGTCGCGCGGGGAACACGAAACTTGCACTGTGCGGTGCAAAAAAAGCCGGAAAATGTGTCTGCACTTTTGAAAAAGCGTAATACCCCAAGTGTAACGCTCACATTTTCTTTAAATTTTGCACACACATCGGACATGAACTAAGCATCAATTGCTGAAAGTTTTAGCTTGCCATTTACAAGCGCCGCCGAGATATTGAACGATCTTTGCCGATGAGAGAGTACGCTAAACGCGGAGAACGGTTAGAGAAAAAAACACTTTTTGGCCATAACTTTGCCAGTTTCGCTCGGAAAAAAAAGATTTTTTGTGAAAACATTACCCTCTATTGTAGAAATAGGCACGAAACTTTTCGTGCCGAAATTCGGCAAAAGGTGTCAACTTTTCGCCGACTTTCGACCTAAAAATCTCGGTTGTTTCTGCAAAGTGCGAGCTAGGATTCTCGCATATATTTTAGAAAAAATTATTCTAAATCTGTGCCAAGTTTCATCAAAATCTGAGCGTCGCATTTGGAGTACTTCCCCTGTAAATTTTAACCGTTTTTAAAGCTGGAAATCTCTCACATGTCTTACAAAGAAAGCAATCTTATTTTTTCTTTTAAAATCATCCAACTTTGAGCCTTGCACCATAGTTAGAGATACGTAGAAACGGATTTCCAAGCAACACTGAATTGATGACTTACAAGCCCTACAAGACTGAACTCCAAACAACTCTCCGCTCGAGGGAGCCCCGCAAACTTTGCAATCAAACGGACCATCGGATCTAACACCTTCACTAGCACTGCTCGCTGGCGTCATCGTCGAGTCGGATTCCTCATGCAAACCCATTCGTTCCTGTGAAACAAATAAACTATAAAGTAAAAAAGTTTTTTGTTGTTAAAAGGTCTAGTCTACACGGTTCCTTCGCCTCAAAATCGGTCAAAAAATGATCAAAAACGTCAAACGGAGGCTTGACAGAAACCATAAAATAAATAGTTGTAAAGTTCTGTATGAATAAAGTTCTGAACTGAATCATTGAACCATTTCATTGCCAGGCGCTCCCAGATTTTTCAGATAGCCCCAAAAAGGTGAGCCCAAAACGTCTAAAAAAAGCCACACTTGAAGGCGACAATTGCAGTATGATGTGATCAAAAAAAAGAGGGAGCGGGAGTCAGAGATAGAAAGAGACAGAGAGAGAAAATACAAATTTTGCCCCGACGCTTGTACATAGTCTTTAATTTGAGCTGAGCAAATCGAAAAAGGATTCGCCGCTAAAGGCCCACAATGTTCGTAGAGATTAGTGACGAATTCGTAGTTTATATTATACTGGGAATGTTTCACGAAAGTACAGTACAAAAGGAGGCGCTGACTTGCTTAGAGAGTTAGCGGCATCACGCGAGAGCGGAGAGAGTGTGAGAAAAAGAAAAGTGGTAACTCGAGTGACCTTTTTTATCGACTTGGCCGCACATTTTGGGCCATAACTTTTAACACAGTGGAGCAATTTACGCCTTTTTATAATAATATTATTGCTGGAGGTACGCAGAATACATGGATGTAAATTTTTAAAATTTCCTTCCAAATTATGCAAATTATATGCAAAATTTTTTTTCTTGATAACTTAAGGGACATATTTTAATAAAATCTTTATATGGACAAGTTTGCTACGCTCTCAGCATCAATGGGTTTTCTGAAGGGTGTAGATTGGAATACTGTATCAGAAGTTATGGCCCGCCGCTTTTGCGTGATGCCGCTAACTCAAGTTAGTGCCTTTTTTGTACGTGAAACATCCCCAAGGTCTGAATGATTCTTTTGGCCATTGGTTTGGCCAAAAAAGTTGTCTTATGGTCGATGTTGACGATCAACCTAGCTTGCCGTTAACACCGTCAGAGCAATGCAGGAAGGAGGCGTGACAGAGGGAAAATGTACCGTAAAAGCCATGATTTCGTTGAAATGAAATCAAAGACGATGATGAATTGTAATCTTTAGGCATCTTTATTTAATTCTGGGCATCTGGAATTGAAAAGCAAGTCATCTGCGCCGGCTAAGACTTTCTTTCTTGCTTTAGAACTATCCTTGTTTTAAACCTTGGAAGACTTTCAGCTCAGCCCTTAACTTCCATCTAGAGCGGTCTGATCGAAGCTTGGACCGATGACTTCCAAACCTTTAAAAAATTAATATTTCCCCGGATATGTCATTCCAAAACGAGTCACATTTTCGTGATTTGAACCCCAACGTTGATAAGAAGACTTTCGAAAGGAAAAGGCTCTTGAACGGGAGTGAAGATACTAACCAGAGAAAGCACAAAACCCACGAAAGAAACGCGTGTAGTCCTTGATAAACGTTCGATTTCAACTCTCTCTTTCTCAAGAAGCAAGAGAGTTTTGTTTTATTTTAATATTATCATATCAATGAGCAATCGTTGTAAAATATGTGGCGATGCCTCGATCGGGATTCAGTTTGGAGTGCGGGCGTGCCGCGGCTGTAAGTCGTATTTTACAGGAAAGGTACCAAAATGCGACGCTCAGATTTTGATGAAACTTGGGATAGATGTAGAATAATTTTTGCTAAGATAAATGGGAGAGTTTTAACTCACGCTTTGCAGAAACGACCGAGATTTCTTACGATTAGTCGAAAGTTGGAAAAAATGTGATGATTTTTCGCAAATTTTGGCATGAACAGATTCAATATAAGTTTGATGTTTATTTTTGCTATAGAGGGTAATGTTTGCATAAAAAAATAATTTTTTCCGCTTAAAACCGACAAAAATGTGACTAAAAAAGTTTTTTCTGTGGCCACTCTCCGCATTGCGCATACTCTCTTGGCCACAAAGATCGTTGAATATCTCGGCTGCCGCTGCAAAGCGCGAGCTAAAATTTTTAAGAATTAATATGTCAACTATCTCACAAATTTTTGCAAAATTTAAATAAAGTTTGAGCGTCGCACGTGGCCTTAGCGAACAATTTAATTATGTAATCATGTATACGTAACATAAAAAAACAATTTTCTCTTTGAAGGCAGCGCTTTTTTCCGTCGGACGATTGTCGAGAAGAGGCAGTACGATTGTTGGCGGAATGAGAGATGCAAGGTTATCCCAGGTAAAAAAAATGTTTTTTATGTCATTAGTTGCGAAGAGGAAAATAATCACTTCTGAAGGCCATGTTGTTTCCAGGTGTTCGAAATTCTTGCCGAGAATGTCGCTTCAAGAGGTGTGTGAAACTTGGGATGAAAGAAGAACGTAAGCATTATATATACAATCCTAACCGCAGTAGCGTTTATGATACAGTACTTAAAGTAAGGGACCTGATCCATTGGCCAAAAACGTACCATTTTGCATCCGGGAAGCATAAAAAATGTTGCAAAATACCTCCATTTCCAAGTGAAAAACTCCGATTTCAAAAGCCCGCCAGCCTTTTTTTGTGAGAAAGTTCAAAACGGAGTTTTTTTTATTTGGAGAGGGAGGCATTTTGCCACATTTTTACTACTTCTCGGATGCAAAATGATACGTTTTTTGCCACTGGATCAGGCCCTTCACTGTAAGTATTTTGGACATTTTAAAAGCCTTTTATGAAAAAAATGGTTTTAGGAGTTCAGCCGAGACGCGACAAAAACATGACAATCGTAGTGGCCAATCCCCTTACACCACCGCACACTCGAAAAGATGTCCCAACAACATCGAAAAATTCGGATGTACTCTCGCGACTCTCCGCAGGCTTTGAGACTTATATGATCGCGAAAAAGGCGGTCTTCATCACGAAACGACCAGAGTTGGCCGTCTTCGAGCACGACGAGATGATTACTGTCCCAGCTAGCGAAAAAGTCGAGCTGGAAATGCTGACCTTTCCCAGCACATACGCCGTTCTTCGCGACTACTTTTTGGATTTTGTTGAAATGGACAAACAAGTCAAGGTAAGATTAGCCACAGCAAATTTACTCTCATTTTTGATTGTAGTCATATATACAATAAAGGACCTGATCCAGTGGCAAAAAAACATATCATTTTGCATCCGGGACGTATCAAAAAATGTGGCAAAATGCCTCCCTCTCCAACTAGAAAAACTCCGTTTTGAATTTCCCTCGCAAAAACAGCCGGGCTTTTGAAATCGGAGTTTTTTCACGTGGAAAGGGAGGTATTTTGCCACATTTTTTATGCTTCCCGGATGCAAAATGGAAAATTTTTTGCCACTGGATCAGGTCCGCCACTGTATTATTATACAATCAAATACGTATTCTGTCTTTAGTTCAAATTATTGGACGCCTTTTTGGGACGCTTCTACCAATTGGAGAGGGTCTGGGTGACAGCTCAACGATTTGTCAAAACAAAGCAGTTCCATAAGTACGCGTTGTCGGCTTATGATTACATTGATATGACACGGCAAGAGGACTTCTTTCAAGATGACATAGAGGCGCAGAAGTAAGTGAATTATTTAATTTTATTTATAAGCTGACTATAAAATTGGGCCAAGCTAGCGTAGAGGCAGTCAAATTATTGTACTTTTCACCTAACAGCGGAAGTGCCCCAAGTGCGGTACTTAGATTTTGATGAAACTCGGCACAAATTTAGAATATTTTTTTCTAAAATATATGCGAGAATCCAAGCTCGCGCTTTGCGGAAACAACCGAGATTTTTAGATCGAAAGTCGGCGAAAATTTGATACTTTTTGCTGAATTTCGGCACAAAAAGTTGCATGCCTATTTCTACCATAGAGGGTAATGTTTCCAGAAAAAATCAATTTTCTTCGCATGAAACTAGCAAAGCTATGGCCAAAAAGTGTTTTTCTCTCTGACCTCTCTCCGCGTTTAGCGTACTCTCTCGGCGGCAAAGATCGTTCAATTCCTCGGCGGCGCTTGCAAAGCGCGAGCTTAAACTTTCAGGAATTGATGCTTAGTTCATGACCGACGTGTGTGCAAAATTTTAAAAAATTTTGAGCGTCGTATTTGGGGGTGCTTCTCTTGTAAGCAACCAATCGGCGAAGCGACATTTTGTTTATCAATCTGACGGGAAGAAAGTAAACACAATGTCGCTGCGCCAATGGCGTGGCTGAAGTGAAAAGCAATTCGATTTTGTACACAATTAATTTTCTTAGCGGCGGATTTTTGATGCGACATTTGCTTATCATCATGATAAAAGGGGTGTTTACATAAAACATAGATTTTTACACGCAAGCTTGATAAATTTCTTATCAACTACCTTTTTCTATTTGACCCTCCGCTTTTTGCGCACGCTTGCGTTTGGGAAAGACTTCTGCATATCCCGGCCGACTCTGCAAATCGCTAGCTATAATATATAACACAGCCTCCATTTACAGATCGTTCCAACCATATGCCGTAGTGCTTCAACAATTTGCCAGAAAGATCGATTCATTGGAAGTGGATCAGAAAGAGTTTGCAGCCTTGATTGGCCTTATGGCCGTTCATATCGGTAATCGTCTTCAAATACAGTGGGGGAAGTGGCAAAGAATGTACCATTTTGCAGTCGGGAAGTATCAAAAATGTGGCAAAATACCTCCCTCTCCAAGCGAAAAAACTCCGATTTCAAAAGCTCTTTTTGTGAGGGAAAAGGCGCGCCCTTCAAAACGATGTTTTTTCACTTGGAAAGAGAGGCGTTTTGCCACATTTTTTATGCTTCCCGGATGCAAAGTGATACTTTTTTTGCCACTGGACCGGGTCCGTCACTGTGTATGCAAAAATGCCCATTTTTATTCCTTTTTCAGTCGCCAGTTTATACGCCGACAAAGCCGATAAACAACTCCGCAAGATCCTTGACGAACTTCAAGAACACGTTTCGAAACGATACTCAGACAGACATAAGCGGGTAGCTCAGATAATACTGTTGCTGAGAGATGTGGAGACGACAACGGAGATGTTCAACGAGTGCTTCTTTTTGGGTGTTGTAGTGAATGACATTTACCGGCAAGCACTCGACCGGCTCGGCGAGATCTCCGATTATTATGTGTAGTAAATATGTGTGTAAATGAGAAGCTAGGATTTGGATGCTGGGCTGTGCTAAATATCTTGAAAGATTACGTCCAGAACGGGCTAAAATCAACAAGAATTTCAAGAATTTAGTAGCCAAATTTGCTTCGAAATTATTGGGTCGTTCAGAAAGTTCGGCCGTTTTTTATCCTTTTGTTTTACAACAATTTCTTTATTGTTTGGCAAAGCGAATATATCTATTTGATACAGATTTTTCTCCTCTACAAAACAGTGTTTTTAATTTTTTTTCAAAATTTAATTTTTCATTACTTTTCGGGCTCAAAAGTGAACCATCTAGGAGGCAAAAATTTGAAATTTCCTGAACATCAGAATTAGAACTTTGTACCCCAGACAGTTCTTCCATAAATTGAAAAATAATCCGCGCCCGTCATCGCTCCGATATCACACGAGCGATCAATGCAATCAACTGCAAATCAATTCGTCGCGCCTTCCGTGGAGAACAGACTTTTCGCGAAAAGCCGCTCGCGGTGATCTCCCCTTCGTCCTTTATGTCATGCTACAACAAATGGACTCTCCTCCGCGGGCGAATAGGAGAAGAAAAAGAAGGGAAGGCTTTTCGAAGGTCAGGAACAAAGTAGAAAACATTTTTCGGAACCCCGCCGTCGCGCTTGATTTTCCACGCTTCCGAAAGCAGCAACACACAGACAGTGTTGGGGGAATGGAGGGCTGTCGGATTTGCGGCGACGTTTCGTTGGGCATTCAGTTCGGTGTGCAAGCCTGTAGTGCCTGTAAGTTGCGCCATCGATTGTTGCTTCATCTGCGGCGTTTTGCGTATCGAAAATTAGAAGTTAATTTTATAATTTTGCGAATTTAGGTGCCTCGTTTTTCCGCCGAACCATCACTGAAGTCAAGGAGTACAAATGCTGGGAGAACGAGCAATGCGAACCAGTTCCAGGTAGGGCAAAAAGGGGGAGTTTTGAGCTTATCTTTTTAATGGAAGGTCTCTTATTTTATTAGTTGTCTATCAAAAAGCACTTAGATTTCTCATGAAACAGCAGTTTATAAAAGCAGAGTAAAGCGGGCTCCTCTTCGATTTCGCTTTTCGTCATAAACAAGAAAATAAAAGATTTCTTTCGGGTTGATGTCTTGATCGACCTGTTAAAAAACAAAACTTTTTTCATCGAAAACTTTTTTTTGATGTTTCTTGAAAATTGGTAAAAACTTGCTGGTTTTTCCAATAAATTATTGGACGAAAAGCCATTTTTATATAATTGCTTTTCAGTTGTGGTACTATGCCTTTCTTACTGTATAAATTATAGAATTTTAGCCAGGGTTTTTCACAGGACCCACTGAAATTTTAATCTCACAGACCAGACATCCGTTTTGAAAGATTTCCTCGGATCTTACGCATAATTCCTTTACAAAACAGCCAGATTCCCAACGCATATCTCTCTATATACATAGCGAAAATATTCTTTCCTTGACAGCCTCTCTCTGATCTTCTCTTTTCAACATCGGCGCCCGCCATGCGCGGGATTTCGTTAATTGATTTTGTCTGCGTATTTTTGACGATTAAAGATCTGACGATGAGCGACTGATCACTTCGATCGCATTCGAACTCTCTCTCGTTTCCGCTTGATTCACTGTTTAATATTCGAATTCGGCTGTCTCGGGGATGAAAATAGAAGCGACCCATGTCAAGGAAAGTGGTTCCTTCACGGGGTTCAAAAGACTGTTTCAAATTAGCAAAGGCCCCAAATTACCGACTAATCATCCTTTTTTCAACTGAAATTTGCATAAATTGAAAAATTTTTGTGCCGTTTCGTTAAAATTGGAACTGTCAAGATCTAACTATAGGTCGAGGTATATGAGGTCCCCTAACATGCCCGCTACGACTAGTATCAACCAACCCCTAATAACCATCAACTAGACAGCCCTAGTTAAAATAGGAGACAACGGCAATAGACTCACGATAATCGATTCCACGGGGCTTCGGTAGTTGAGCCCCCCCCCACGAAGGGTAGATCAAACCCCCACTGTTTTTCCCGTTTCACACCCCACATAATGAACAAATTAGAATAATACAAAAAATGTAAGTGGGGTTTGATCTACTACGTTGGGGGTTTGATCTAAAACGTTGAGGGCTTGACCCTCAACGGAGGGGGCTTCATCTAAAACGTAGGGGTGTTGACCTAAAACGTAGGGGGCTTGATCTAAAAAGTAGGGGGCTTGTGCTGGACCATACAACTTGGATTAATTCTTTGAAATAAATTTTGGGGTTCAGAACGGACGAGGGGGGTTGTACTGGGTCATGGGGGGCTAAACTGGACTGGGGGGCTGTACTACCTTAGCCCCGATTCCACTTAGCTTGGACACTACCGCACTGCATCAAAAGGAACTTCGACAAATTCACAATAATTGGTTTATTTTTCCCAAACGAGTGATCGAAAAGCGATCGGTCCATTACATTTTATCAATATTCGTCGGTTTATGCTAATTTCTGGGAATTCTTGACGGAATCGTGACAGAACTTATTGATGGGAAACATTTTGCTCTCTAAATTTATTGCCGTGTTTTATTGACGTCATTCCTGCCCATTTCCTGAACATTTTAGACGTTTCATCCACCTTTTTTGGATTGACCAAAAGACTTTAGAAATACAATTTTTTTGGATTTTTGGAGGACAAAATTGGTCCAAAAAATCCCGAAAGTTTTATAATGTCATTTCCTGAGCAGACAGTAAGTTTTTTTCCCGGCTAGCCAAAGAAAAAAACCAACCAAAGATCTTCTCCAAAATTCTAGTTACGCCGACCCGCCACATTGATTAAATCTCGGGCGGGAAATAGCTTCAAATGCGCTGAATTGACGTGCCCGCGCTACTTTGCGAATCGCACGTTCTCCCACGGTGTTTTTTGAGAGATCACTGCTGTCGGGTTTACAACAAGGGCAGGGGTTTAAGGGCGTACTTTTACCGTTGGTTCTCTAGATTCGTCATTTGTCACCTTCGAGCAATTAATCGACTACAAAAAGTCTTCCGAAACAGATTGAAACACATTTCAAGGTTCACCATTTTTCAGGCATCCGAAACTCGTGTCGATCCTGCCGCCTGAAGCGATGTTTGGAGCTGGGAATGAAAGAAAACAGTGAGCCAAATTTTGATTCAACCTTTCTCACCAGTAGGGTTAGGACGAAAGAGCTTGACTGACCAAATTCGACCTGTAATTGGGTCGGCTAGACGGTCAGCCGAAGGTCCCCTGGCTTGAAAGACGAGCTGGGAAACCTCCGCAAAAGGTCGACCAGTTTAGGAAGACCGGTGACATGATCTGACCGTTCCACGTCAAACTGAGACAAGCTAAAGTAGTCCGGTGATTGGATTGTCAATTCGCCAAAAAAAGACGCAAAAAAACTTTTAGTCGGGGAAGAAATGGGGATTTTTTGGGGCGAGAGAGTACGTTTTTGCGCGTCTTTTCTCTGACTTCTCTGTGAAATCAAGACCAAATCTAAAAAACCGATAGCGAAGTGCATATTCCGGTCACCGGACTCCTCAGTTTGACGCGCGCTCGTTCCGACCAATCCCTACTCCTAATCTTTTGCATACAGGGTGCGGCAATTTTTCGGCCGGATTTGAATTGGCTATAACTTTTTGAGTTCTTGGCCAAATGTTAAAATTCTTTTTTTCCCTGAATCCTCATACATCCCCATTTTGTTTAATACCAAGTACATTCTACCCATTTACTGCATCACAGTAAAAATTGAAGACAAAGAAAAAGCTCTAATTTTCATAGCTGACAAAGTGAATTACCCCTAGCAAATTTGACCGAAAAATTGCCGCATACTGTACAATGATTCCAATCTTTAGCCAGCCTCTTCAGAAGTCCAACGAAAACGAGACAAGAATTCGACGATCGTCATCGCCAATTCGACCGCAATATTAGCCAAACCCAAAGATCTCCCATGCACCTCGGCCTCCTCGGACATTCTTGGCCGCATTGGCAAACGATTTGATGACTATTTGATCGGCGAAAGAGCGATATTTATAACGAGACGGCCGGAGTTGGCGGTCCTCACCGACGACGAGATGATTGTGATACCGGTGAAGGAGAGGCTGGAGCTGGGGATCCTGACGTTCCCAATCGTTTACACAATGATGCGCGAAAACATCCTAGACTTTGCGGAAGTGGAGAAGAAAGTGAAGGTAAGAGGAAGTGGTCCTCGCTTAAACTTCCTTTTTCTGGCCCAGCAAAAAAGAAGGTTTTGCAGCTTGCGCCCGAACAATTCCGGTTGCAATGGAATATCAGGCTTAGGCAGGTTAGGCTTAGTTTAGGCGTAGCCTTAGGCTTAGTTTAGTGCTTAGGCTGTTTCCCACTTTTATTCGCAGCCTACAGAGAAACAAGGGCGCGAGATGCGAAGCGCCGGGCCAGAAAAAGGAAGTTTTTGGTGTTCTTCAAAAAGAGGGTGCTAAATTCGTCTCAAAGACATTTTCTTTTCAGTACAAACTATTCGACGCATTCCTCTGCCGCTTCAAACAATTGGTGAGGGTTTGGTTCACAGCGCAGAAGTTTGTGCGCACCAAACAACTCCATAAATGCGCAATGTCGGCGATGGACTACGTTGATACGTCGAGGCCGGAGCTCTTTTATGGAGAGGATTTTGAGGTTCACAAGTAAGTCATCTACTGGCGACATAGATCTCTTCATTTCCAGGATATTTCGACCCTACGCCAAGGCCCATCAAAAAGTTGCCAAGAAGGCGTACGCCATGAGGCTGGACAAAACCGAGTTCGCGGCGCTAATAGGCCTCACCACCGTCAACATAGGTAATTCCCACATCGAATAAAGCCCAAATCTTTAGTCAGAAATCTAATGGACAGCGATAAAGTGGAGGAACAGTTGCAAAAAATCCTCAACGAGCTGAAAGAGCACGTTGCGAAGAGGCACAAGAATGTCAGCAAACGAATGGGTCATATCATCATGTTGTTGAGGGAGATTGAGACCACGACCAGCCTGCTCAACGAGTGCTTCTTTCTGGCGGTGGTTGTGAGCGATACGTACCGACAGGTGCTGGACCGGTTAGGCGAGATTTGCAGCTATCTCTGCGAATAAACAAGCCTTTTCGTTGTGTCAAAACTTGCCCTATTTAAAATATTTGACTAGCAACATGCTAAAAGTTGAATGATTTTACCGTAGTAATCCATACGTGTCAATTAATGTCTTGGTGTCACATGGGACATTTCCTTCGACTTTGCAATGCAGTTTACAACCCAGAGGTCCGACACTCCGGCATCCAGAAAGAACAACACGCAAAAGCTTGTGAAGGAAGTTGCAACATGACTGGAATAGACCCTTCGCTATCGGTTTTTTACACTTCATCTTGATTTCACAGAGAAGTCAGAGAAAAGAAGCGCAAAAACGCACTGTCTCGCCCCAAAAAATCCCCATTTCTTCCCCGACTGAAAGTTTTTTCGCGTGTTTTTTGAAGAATTGCCACACTAACGCAAAGTTACAATGTATATCGTACCAATGTACTTTGACCTTGTTGAAGTCGTAGATTGGTCGGCGATTCGGGTCTTTGCCGTGATTTGATTGGAGATAGCGATGGATGCGTTGATTTTTGCAATTTATTGGCTTGTCTATAAAAACCAGCTAACGTAAGGTAGCATTCTCTACTGGTGGCTATCTCATATTTCCTATGAAATCTTCAGTATGTACGCAAACCGTTAGCGCCAGTTTGTGCAGACGTTGGTGATTTTCAATAAATCTTCATCGTGCTCTACAGCTGTCCGCCAGCTATTGAAAAATCCGCGTCCCGACTTTCCGGATAAATGGATACCCAAAAAAGCTTGTAGAAAGTGCCTGCAAGGCTTGGCAAAGCCGTTGGATGATCGACGGACACTCGGCGAAGGCCGGCGGAGACTTGGCGAGGACTTGCAATACGTTTAATTTTCTAATTCTGTCTATTACTAACGCTAGTGTTCTCTATCCTGAGTTACTGCAACATACAAAAGACCAAAAGTTGTGGCAAAAACGAAGATCCATAACTTTTATCTTGATAATATTATTGATGTGAGTACATATAAAATTCCTCAAAATAGGTGATAAGCTGTCCTAGGACCAGACCAATCTTGTGATCTCTACTAACTAAGCCTTCTTCTATCTCCCCCATGAATACAACGACAAACCGACGCGTTCACCAACTGCTCTGATAATGTTGTCTACTATAGTCGGCGCTATTTTATTCAAACACTACTTATGCTCAATTAAGTGTGAAACCAACAACTTGCGATATGAATACCGCCGAAATTTTTTTTAGTATTTTCATACAAACAGTTTTGTCAATAGAGCCCTTTGTCGGCATCCAAATTTGTTTGGAGCGTTGACATTTCAATTAGCTCTATAAAAGAAGCATTATGCATTTGATGAGTAGTGAAAACCATGAACTTCCCTCTCGCATGGCTGATAAGTGCTGCACTTCTCCCACTCGCAGCATCAAGAAAATACAGTGTGCCGTTGGAAAGGGACAACGTTTATTACAAACGGAATGCAGCTAATGGTAAGATCTTCTTGGAATCTATGAAATTTTTTTGTTCAAGCTTTTACCAGAGCGTTTTTGGATGAGCACTTTGACAGGCATCAGCGATATCTTAAAGCTCGATACCTCAAGGATCCGCACTCACAGCCATTCTACGATTATTATAACATCAACTACCGAGGTAAGAGATTTTTAGCATCTCTATGCTGAGCGTTTTAGCCAACATTACCGTCGGCACACCACCTCAGCAATTTCGCGTTGTCCTTGACACCGGCTCGGCCGACTTCTGGATACCCGCACTCGACTGTCAAGTAGAAGGTGGTGGTGCATGTAACGGAAAAGTATTGTTCAATGACTCCGCTTCCAGCACTTTTGTAAATCTTGGTCACGAATTCGAAATCCGTTACGGAAGGGGGTCTGTTAAAGGCACCACCGCAAACGAAACTGTCGGCCTTGGGCGTCCGGAAGACGACAAGTTGGTGGTCCCACGGCAGACGTTTGGAGTCGCTCACAGTATCGATGACGCACTGGAGGAGTCTTTGAATTTTGATGGAATCGTCGGACTTGCATTTGGAAGCCTTTCCAAAGAACACGGACAACCTGTCTTCCTGAATGCAGTGGATCAGGGATTGGTCGACGAGCCGATCTTTACCATTTGGCTGACTAAAGAGCCAGCGGGCAGCGAGGTATCTGTGTGACGGACCTGATCTAGTGGCAAAAAACGTACCATTTTGGGTCCGGGAAGCATCAAAAATGTGGCAAAATGCTTCCCTCTCCAAGTGAAAAAAACTTCGTTTTGAAGGGCTTTCCTCACAAAAAGAGCGGGCGCGCTTTTGAAGTTGGAGTTTTTTCACTTGGAGATGGAGGCATTTTGCCACATTTTTGATACTTCCCGGATGCAAAAAAGTACTTTTTTTGCCACTGCTGCGCAAACGTTCAAAGCAAATGTTTTTAGGGCAAAGAAGGAGGTCTAATCACCTATGGAGGCTTTGACGACAAACATTGCAGCAATGACATTCATTACATCCCGCTGGCAGATGAGTCATACTGGATTTTCGAAGGCCAAGCATTCTCGGTGAACGGACAAGAAACTGAGCACACTTATAGCGCGGTTACCGACTCCGGCACGTCCTATATTGCGGCGGATCCCACCATAGTTCAGTCGATAGTGGACGGCTTAAAGGCGGAGCAAACGCCAAGCGGTCGATACGTATTGCCGTGCAACTCCAACTTTACCATTGGTTTCAACATAAATGGCAAAAATTACAATATCGAAGCAAAGAATCTGTTGTTGGAGAATGAGGAAGGCTCCTGTGATCTGGCATTGCAGCAGTTCGTGAACCCGTTCGTTCAGTTAATCCTGGGAGATCCATTCATTCGGGAGTACTGTCAAGTCCACGATGTAAAAGAAGGACGAGTCGGATTCGCCTTGGCCAAGGAGTGATTACAATAACTCTCAGATTGTTATGTTGAAGATAAAGTATAAAAAATGTCTCTCTGAATAAGCTGCATGCAGACCTGGTGCAATTGATTAAACCGTATCCGGAGTCGTTAAGAAGAAAGTTGCCTTTTGCAGAAACAAAAGTTCGGAACAGTTTGACCTTTACTGCTCTTAATTACCCCGATCTGGCTTTTAAAATCCACTACCATACTAACAGGGGAAATACCCCAAGCGCGAGGCTCAGATTTTGATGAAACTTGGCACAAATTTAGAATATTTTTTTCTAAAATGTATGCCAGAATCCTAGCTCGCGCTTTGCAGAAACCATTTTTAGATCAAAAGTTGGCGAAAATTTGACACTTTTTGCCGAATTTCGGCACATAAAGTTTCATCCCTATTTCTACTCCACAAAAAATCAATTTTTTCCGCGCGAAGCCTGCAAAGTTATGGCCAAAAAGCGTTTTTTTTTCTGACCGCTCTTCGCGTTTAGCGTACTCTCTCGGCGGCAAAGATCGTTCAATATCTCGGCGGCGCTTGCGAAGCGCGAGCTAAAACTTTCAGGAGTTGATATTTAGTCTATGCCCGAAGTGTGTGCAAAATTTAAAGAAAACGTGAAGGAGGGCAGAGTTGGGTTCGCCTTGGCTATGGAGTAGAAGTTCTTCGCATTTTATTTGAAATATTATGTTTTAATCGCTTAGTAAATAAAGTTTGCTTACTGCATTACAAGATATATTCAGCAAACTTGTTGGTATGGCTCCTAACTCTATCAAAGTGTGCCAAGAATATGTAGCAATGCACATAATGAAACTGTGAGCAAACAAAATCATAATGTATACTGACGCAACCGTGTATCAAAGAGACAATGCCATTTCGTGAACGAGCAGCTTCAAAAAAATATAAAAAGATACTCGGGCAACATTTAGCCTAAAATTTTTTAAAAAATAACGAACCCTTTAAAGTAAAACACCTCTTCAAAGAAATCGACAGGCATTTCAAAAAAAATGACATTTTGTAATCGTTGAAATAAGTGTATAAAAAGCAAGGAAATGACGGGCAAATTTATCAACCGTTCTCCGGAGAGGCGACAGGATGAATTGGCTTCAGTACGCTCTGATCTTGACTGTACTACTATATCCCGCAACGTCAAAGAAATATGGAGCGCCATTGAAAAGGACGCACAAGCTGGCGAGAAATCTCGACGGTAAAAAAATGTAGCTTACTGCTTTATCCTTACTTTAGAGATTGCACTTCAAATGAAGACCCTTCGGAGCGACCTGGAATACTTCGCAGACATAAACGGCAACAATCCGCACACGCAGCCCTTCTATGCCGTCGGCCGAAACAGCTACATCTGTAAGCAGTGATAGCGTGTATACTCAGCCAAAATTGTAGCTAACGTCAGCGTCGGCACACCACCCCAAGAATTCCGAGTCATGCTGGACACGGGCTCGGCCGACTTTTGGATCCCCACCAGAGATTGCCAAGTGGGACAGAGTGGCCAAGCTTGCAATAAAACTTTGTTCAACTCGGACAACTCCAGCACTTTTCAAAATCTGAGCACAACGTTTCAGATAAGGTATGGGACGGGTTTTGTCGAAGGAACAACCGCAAATGAGACGGTCGGCCTTGGAAGCCCCAACGACGACAAATTGGTCGTTCCAAAGCAGACCATTGGACTGGCGCATAAAATCGACAAACTACTGAATCGTTTCGGCTTCGACGGAATTGTGGGCCTCGCGTTTCGAGCGCTCTCAAAAGTGGAGGCCCAGCCTGTTTTTCTGAATGCGTTAGATCAAGGGCTAGTGGACGAGCCGGTTTTCACAATCTGGTTGACCAGAGATAAGACCGAAAAAAATGTGAGTGATACTTACATGGGGATCCTAAGTCGTGAATCTATATATGCTATTGTCTTTAAAATCTATGCTCCTGCAGTGAGGAACCTGACTCAGTGGCAAAAAATGTACCATTTTGCATCCGAGAAGCATCAAAAATGTGGCAAAATGCTTCCCTCTTCAAGTGAAAAAACATCACTTGGAGAGCGGGCTCGCTTTTAAAATCGGAGAGGACAAAACTTGGGCTTACTTTGCAAGGCACATACCCAAACTACGACAGTTTAATCAGATTTAGTGCGTGGCGGAGACTGAAGAAGATGCCAAGTTTCCCATATAGCCTCAGGCCAACGATTTTTTCAAATTTTGGCACAAAACTGGGGTCTTAGAAATGAGATTGTTTTTGTGTTGTGCAAATAAGTCTAAATACAGTGGGGTACCTGATCCAGTGGCAAAAAATATACCATTGTGCCTCCGGGAAGTATCAAAAATGTGGCGAAATGCTTCCCTCTTCAAGTGAAAAAACTCCGATTTCAAAAGCGCGCCCGCTCTTTTTGCGAGGGGAAGGGCACGCCCCACGTCAAACTGAGACAAGCTAAAACAGTCCGGTGATGGATTAGCAATTTGCCAAAAAAAGACGCGAAAAAATGTTTTGTCGGGGGAGAAATGGGGAATTTTTGGGGCGAGAGAGTACGTTTTTGCGTGTCTTTTTTCTCTCTTTCTCTGCGAAATAGACGAAGTGTAAAAAACCGATAGCGAAGAGTCTATTCGGGTCACCGGACTCCTCAGTTTGACGTGCGCCCTTCAAAATAAAGTTTTTTTTCACTTGGAGAGGGAGGTATTATTTTGCCACATTTTTTGATGCTTCCTGGACGCAAAAGGGTACGTTTTTTCCCACTGTATCAGGTCCCCCATTGTTGCCTCAGGCCAACGATTTTTTCAAATTTCGGCACAAAAATTGGATCTGAAGAAATTGTTGTTCTGTCGTGCAAATAAGTCTAAATACATCTTACATTTAGAACACCCAGGACGGGCTCATAACCTACGGAGGCCACGACGACGAACACTGCGATAGTGATATCCATTGGATCCCATTAGCAGCCAAGTCTTGGTGGATCTTCGAAGGACAAGGCTTTTCGATCAACGGTCAAAAAACTGACAAGACGTTTAAGGCGATCACGGACAGTGGGACCTCGTTCATTGTTGGTCACCCGACGATTATTCAGCCAATCCTTGACGCTGTCAATGCGCAGTACTATCCTCCAGCGCACATCTATCTAGTTCCATGCAGTTCCAACATTACCGTTGGATTCACCATAAATGGGAAGGACTACAATGTTGAGGCGAAAAATCTTTTGTTGCCTATCAAGGGAGACACTTGCGTCCTGGCTGTGAACATCTTTGAGAATGATAATGTGCAACTGATCCTTGGAGATCCATTCATCCGCGAATATTGCCAGGTCCACGACGTGAAGGAGGGCAGAGTTGGGTTCGCCTTGGCTAAGGAGTAGAAGTTGTTCGCATTTTATAGTGTTTGAAATTTTTGTCGCTTAGTAGTTAGTAAATAAACGTTGCTTTTCGGTTGAGCTGTGGCTAGAGTAATATACATACTATATTGTACATGCGATAATCGTAGCTCGGGCTAGAAATTTATTTGCAAATCACAGGCTAAAAAAGGAAGCGAGAAGTCAAAAAATTTTCATGGTGAGGATTATATAGGATGTGTCTAATGCCATTAAAAGATAGATGAAGAGGAGTCTCCGAGAAATAACTCGCCAAACACACGATACCGTCAAGCAATCATACAAAAACGGTTTTTGGCTCTTCCGTTTCAAGCGGTTATCTTTAGGTATAAAGAGTTCGCCCGCCGCCCTTGCTATTGTCATCGAAGAACATCTTCATCGTGTAAATCACCGGCTGAGCCTCCATACACAAGATGAAGACGGTGGAAAGGGAGATTCGACCGGTCAACGGGAAAGTGAAACACCACCGAGCAGCGGACAGAAATATGGGAAATTACAGTGGTTCTTCCATACGATTCCACAGCTAGTCCTCTAAAGAGTAAATGCCAATACGTTTATCCTCAAAATCCTCTCCCAATCACAATAAAAAGCCGAACCAATGGCCGAAATGTCGAATCTTGTAGGCGGCGTTTTGCGTTTTGCCAAGCCGATTGCTTGGCGGATTTTTCCGGAAGGAGAGTCCATAGTTCGGATTCAGGGGGACTTTGTTGGGTTGATATCGCCTTTTTGCACAAATCAGATAAGCACAGGTAGAAGTTTCAGCAAGTAAAAGGACACAAGTAGAGGTTAGGATCAATTTTCGATGCAGGGATCCTGCGTTGGGGACTTGCGCGTGGTCTCCGCGGTAGTTAAGCTTCCCTTTAGGGAGCTGACTTCTTAGCTACCCCTTTTTCGGCTAGCTGCTGGTTTTGCGTGGCCTCCCGGAGTGCTTGGAGGTCACGGTAGCGTCTCTCGTTGTCTTCTGTTAATATGCGCCGGGTTCGGCGAGCCTCGTTCAGAGTGTCGCGGAGGCCCTGTGCCTCCTCCTCCGCCTGGTTACGGGCGGCGGCGGAGGAAGAGGCTTCGGCGGACAGTTCTTCATTTCGTTTTCGGAGTTTCTCGTTCTGTCTCCGGAGGAACCTGGCCGTCTCCCTCCGCCGCAATTTGGAGCAAGAAATGAGAAGGCCCCATAAAGCGCGCCGTCAGCCGTGCCCCTACTGTAATTCGGTCGACCATAACCCTCTCGACTGCACGGTCGTTGTTGACCGCTCGGTCCGCCGAAGACCACAAATTGTCACGGCCGGGGATAGGCTCGGTGACAATTTGGAGTCGGCCGGCTGGGTTTACCGACTCCTTTTGAGAATCTTATAATTCTCCTACCTTTTAGCGGGGGCGCTGGGGAATGGCGACGCTGACTGACAATAGTTGATTTGCGATATATATATTGTAGGAGTTTTCAGGCTTATATACTAGCATAAAAAGGGCGGGATTAGCTGGAGTGTCCTAGGGCTGGGCCAAGGGGGTTTGGTACGGCCCTAGGACACCTCATAAGTGGAATGATTAAGCAGGAGACAGGGAGTGAATGATCCGTGCTTACTCAGGCGTTTGCACGGGAAGCGGTGATTAAGAGGCAGGGGCGATGAGTGTTATGGCAATCAAGAATCTTCTCGGCCAAAATTAATCATCCAATCGGCCGATTGAAAGAATTCCTTTTGGCTATTTTTATTATAGTATCGCAAGGGTGTCGCGACACGAAATGGTTGAACTGGCGGTTGTTGGTTGGTTGTTTGAATGATCTGGGACCCATTGCAATATCAGAGCGTCCCAAGGATAACAACACACATACAAATGATGAATAATCTGTTTGCAAAAAATCATAATAATGATGCAATCGTGGATCAAAGCGAAAATGCCATTTCGTTAATGATAAACTTTGAATATAACACAAATAAAATATCTGTGCAATTTATGCAAATCCAAAAAATTTGCTTGGAAATAACAAGCCCTTTAAAGCCGTACACCCCTCTTCAAAGAAACTGATAGGCATTTTCATAAAGAAGACATTCTGCAAGCAATAGATTAGCAGTATATGTCACCGGGTATTGGGTGTATAAAAAGCCAGAAAATGACGGGCAAAGTTATCAACCGTTCCGTGGATAGACTCCAGGATGACTCGTCTTCTCTCTGCTCTGATTCTTGGCATACTGCTGCATGGGGCAACGCCGAAGAAGTACGGTGTTCCGCTGGAAAGAAGGCACAATCCGCTGGTGAATGATGGTAACCATATGCAATCGGGCTTCTACTTTTTTATGCTTTACTGTTTCAGTCTCCGACATTCATAAATACATCCTAAGCAGATACGGTAACAATCCGAACACTCAGCCCTTCTTCACCTTCGGAAGCTTGAGCTACACCTGTAAGCAATAATTATTCAAGGTTACGTTGAACTCTAGCTAACATAACGATTGGCACCCCGCCTCAAGAATTCCGTGTTTTATTGGATACCGGCTCCTCCGACACTTGGGTCCCGGCCCAGGACTGTACAGTAGTTGGAGGGCCAGTTTGTGAAAAAACGTTTTTCGACCCCAACGCGTCCAGCACCTTTCAGAACATAGGCTCATATTTCAAGATACAATATGGAAAAGGTTTTATCAATGGCACCACTGCAATCGACACTGTCGGCCTGGGCAGCGCGTCGGATGATAAGCTCGTCGTTCCTGGACAAACTATTGGGCTTGCGCACCAGATCGACCAAACGTTGGGATCTCAGAGTGTTGATGGAATCGTTGGCCTCGCGTTCAGATCAATCTCTGAAGAAGGCGGGCAACCGGTTTTCCTGAATGCCGTGGATCAAGGGCTAGTGGACGAGCCGGTTTTCACAGTCTGGCTGACCAGAGATACGACCGAAAAAAATGTGAGTGAGACTTACATGGCTATCCAGAGTCGTGAATCTACAGAGAGGGACCTGATCCATAGGCAAAAAAACGTATAATTTTGCATCCGGGAGGTATCAAAAATGTGGCAAAATACTCCCACTACAATAATTTCAAAAGCGCGCCCGCTCTTTTCGTGAGGGAAAAGCGCGCGCCCTTCAAAACGAAGTTTTTCCATTTGGAGAGGGAGGTATTTTGCCACATTTTTTGAAGCTTCCTGGGTGCAAAATACTTATTTTGTCACTGGATCAGGTCCACCACTATAAGATTACAATACTGATCTAGTGGCAAAAAATGTGCCATTTTGTATCCGGGAAGGATCAAAAATGTGGCAAAATACTTCCCTCTCCAAGTGAAAAAACTTCGTTTTGGGCCCTCTTCTTCACAGAAAGAGCGGGCGCGCTTTTGAAATTGTAGTTTTTTCACTCGGAGAGGGAGGTATTTTGCGGCATTTTTGATACTTCCCGGATCCAAAATGGTACGTTTTTTGCCAATGGACCAGGTCCGCCACTGTATATATGCTATTAATTTTGCACATTGCATGTCTATAAAATCTCTGCTCCTATCAAACATACTTTTCCAGGAAGGCGTAGACGGGCTCATCACCTACGGCGGCCACGACGACGAGCATTGCAGCACCGACATTCATTGGATTCCATTGGCACACAAGAGCTGGTGGATCTTCGAGGGACAAGGGTTTTCGGTGAACGGCCAGGAAACCCAGTTCACCTACAAGGCCATCACTGACACTGGATCTGGGTTTATTTATGGCACTGCAGATATCATCGCTCCAATTGCCAACGCTTTAAATGCGGTATACGACGAGCAGAGTGGAGAATACCTGCTTCCATGCAATTCCAACTTTACCGTCGGATTCTCCATAAACGGCAAGGAGTACGATGTGGAGGCGAAGAATATGTTGGTGCCGCTCTCCGGAGAAACTTGCGCCCTGACTGTGCTTCCCTCTGAGGTCGGGGAAGTTCAACTCATCCTTGGAGATCCATTCATCCGCCAGTACTGCCAGGTCTACGACGTCCAAGAAGGCCGGGTCGGATTCGCTTTGGCCAAGGAATAATTGTAAAACGCAACTCGAACGTAGCTTGATAGCCGCTTCTTAGTTAGAAAATAAACGCATTAATCTTAAGGAAGTTATGAAAAATGTAAGGTAATTTCACCTGCAAGTCAAATATCAATAATGCGTATAACAATAAATAAAAAAAGTAGCTTGCGCACAGCTGACACCCCTTGTAATCAGGAGATAAGGGAGTCTGTGAGAGAAGGATCGTTGCCTATCTGTTATTGTTGTGTGGTGGACCTGATCCAGTGGCAAAAGACGTACCATTTTGCATCCGGGAAGCATCAAAAATGTGGCAAAATGCATCCCTCTCTAAGTGAGAAAAACTTTTTTTTGAAGTGCGCACCCTTTTTTCCCCACAGAAAAATAGGGTGCGCTTTTGAAACCTGAGTTTTTTCACTTGGAGATGGAGGCATTTTGCCACATTTTTTGATATTTCCCGGATGCAGAATGGCACGTTTTTTGCCACTGGATCAGGTCCCTCACTGTATTTACACATTTCGAGCGGTAGCAGTTGCATTTTGCTGGGCTGTTGTGCTCCAGGCTTCTCGCAGACAGCAAAGTTTACATTTCTGAAAGACTTTTAGCAGTGAGGGATATGTATTTTTGGAGAACTGGAACTGTTTTTTACTAAAGTTAGAGTTTGAGATTTGATGAGCTCTTTGCCTCAAAAGCTCTGCGTTTTTTGAAAACTCTAATGTATGCTTTGACAACTGGAGTGTCTGCTTTTAAAAAATTGTATATATTAAGTTTGAATAACCCATTTTCGACTCTGATCCCCCATTTTTATCACCGAGATCTTTGGAAGTAATCATCCTTTATAAAGCCCATAAACCTTTTGTGTTAATGGGTGGTCATTAAACCCCTCGATCTTCATTACCGCGGCGTTTAACAGAAAGCGGCTGGGTGCATAAACTTTTATATATTTTTCGACTTTTCATCAGGTTTTATGGGCACTTATGGCGTTAGAAATGGGTTTGTTGATGAGTCGGGGCTTAAGACAAAATGGGGAAATGCGAATGAGACTGGGAATTTGCTAGGATGGCGATGATGGGGAGACACAAGGCAATTGCTGTTTATTGTATTATCGTGGTAAAAACTGTTATCGTAACAGTCTTACTGACCTTAGGATACTTTTCATTCAAAGCCCTTGCTTTAATTTTAAATTTACAAGTTCAAAAAAGCCGTCCAAGTTTTTCGTATCATTTGATCTCAAGAATAACATAATTTTGCAGTATTTCCAAAGTTTCCAAAATTAGGCCCATAAAAAATTGGCCTAGAAGCACTCTCACGGGACACATTATCTTTTTCAACGATGGTCGCAAAGGGAATATAAGGCATTTAAAATGATGAATGTCCAAATGCACATGTCGTCAGTTCGAATTCGTTTTATGTATTTTTTGTTCTCACAGCTTTGTTGAATCATCGCCAAGTCTAAATGCAGTAAGAATGGGACTCTTTGATGCTGCTGTATCATACAGCAGCAATCAGATGAGGGGTTTTCTTGGCTCTACAGACGTTTTTCTTGTTTGCAAAAAACGTAAAAAATATACAGGGTGTCCAGAGAAATTCCGCGGAAAGTGTTTGCCGATTTCTCGGCGCTCTGGCAAGATATCCAAAAAAATCTTTTTGCATTAGAAAGAAGACTATGGGCGGTTTTTTTTTCTAAAAAAGTTTTTTTTTGTCCGCCGACGCGGAGCATACTGTATTCGGCGGAGACTTTTGGTAGCTTTTTTGGTCATCACACCAATCTTAAAAGCTGCAGTACGATTTCTGATGGTTAAAAAGAGAATGTTATCTTATTTTTATGTTTACCAAACGTTCGGCAATGGAATGGCGAGCTTTCCGTATCGGCGGAGGCCACAACTCAGCTTCGGATAGGAGATGTCCCAAACATTATGTGGCCAGCATTCTTTGCTGATCCCATATGCTCTCCAAAATTTTGTCGCCAAGCCTTGGCAGGAGCTTAGCCATCAGTAAACGACTTGGTGTACCAGAAAAAAACAAAATATTTTTTGGTTGAACTTCTCTTTGCCCCGCTGTTTCAAACCTCCGCACGATGCGGTCGGACTTCATCGCTGTTGACGCAACTACACAGTGCGGTGCAGTCGCTAAATGCGATTGCATAGCGTTGTCGTCGGTCCCCTGATCCTCTGTGGAAAAAACTGGAGGCTTCCCGATAGTTTCAGGATCATAGTAAAGCGCTTAAGATTGGTGTGATGACTAAAAAAGCTACCAAAAGTCTCCGCCGAATACAGTATGTTCCGCGTCGGCGGACAAAAAAACTTTTTTAGACAAAAAACCGCCCATAGTCTTCTTTCTAATGCAAGAAGAATTTTTTGGATATCTTGCCTGAGCGCCGAGAAATCGGCAAACACTTTCCGCGGAATTTCTCTGGACACCCTGTAGACTACAAGGGAAGCGAGTGATCTGATTTTTTTGAAATTTACAGTGGGAACCACCCCAAGTGCGACGCTCAGATTTTCTTTAAATTTTGCACACACGTGGGTCATATACCAGGTATCAATTCCTGAAAGTTTTAGCTCACGCTTTTCAAGCGCCGCTGAGATATTGAACGACATTTGCCGCCGAGAGAGTACGCTAAACGTGGAGAGCGGTCACAGAGAAAAACACTTTTTGGCCGTAACGTTGCCAATTCCGGATGAAAAAAAATGATTTTTTCAGGAAACATTACTCTCAACAGTAGAATTATGTAAGAAACTTTTTGTGGCAAAATTAGGCAAAAAGTGTCAACTTTTTACCGCCTTTCGGTCTAAAAATCTCGGTTGTTTCTGCAAAGCGCAAGCTAGGATTTTCATATATAGAAAAACATTATCCCAGAAAAAATTATTCTAAATTTGTGCCAAGTTTCATCAAAATCTATCCGTCGCACTTGGGGTACCTCCCCTGTGAGTTTATGTACGAAAATAGAATACAAGTTGAGATTTTTGGTGACTCTTCCATTACATCATTGTAGCTTCTATTCTATGAATTTGCTTCAATTTTGCTACCAGGAATATTGCTGATGAATAACACCGTCTAGTCGCCGCGATCCAAGCCCTCTTGTTTCGAGAAAACACTAAAGCCGATTACTCTTTCAACTACTTTTTTACGAGCCCATTAATTTTATTGGTTTTGGATCACCCCGGAATTAATTGCGTGACATTTTAATCGGCTTCATCGTTAAAGTCATGTAATTCGGTTTATTTGCCTTTTTATTATATTTTATCTCCAGCCCAGTGGAAGGGAGGCTGTCTGGATGATGATGGGTTTCTTGCGGGCGGGAGATGGGGTTTGTAGTCTTGGGGTATTGTAATCTTACAGTGGTGGACCCGATCCAAGGGCAAAAACGTACTATTTTTGCATCCAGAAGGTATCAAAAATGTGGCAAAATACCTCCCTCTCCAAATGTGAAAAAAACTTCGTTTTGAAGGGCTTTATTTGGCAGTCTGATTGGCTTGAAACTACGCTTGTTTTCTCTACCTCCATCGCGTATCAGATCTCCAAAAATCCGGGGTTTCCATTGCAGTGGCAACCAAGATTGGATCACAAGAAGCGACAAAGTGCATAAGGCCAGAAGGTCCAGATAAAGCACAAATTTTGACCGACTAAAATCCCTGCTTTTGCCTAAAAAATCGATTTTTTAAGCAGCAGTATCTTCCAAAAAATCTCAAAAATTTTTGGCCCGCCTACTATAGTCACTGTTTTTGTTGACCAAATTCATTTCCCAGAGGTTTTTATGGCAGGTCTATAATCATTTTCCCTCCGATCTGAAGCCATAAAAAACGGAATTGGAAGCGATTTCTTCGCCCTCGGGACAAAAGACATTATTTTTATCTTTATTGCCGGTTTAATTACGGCCGTTAAATTTAACAGGAACACCCATCAATTTAACTACTTTAATTTAGCTTTTTTTTCTTTTAATTTCCGATGGAAAAGTTTGTTTCCGCAGTTAATCAAGCCGAGGGAACTCTTTGGGCCGAGAATTGGAAAGTTGGACTTGAAAAACTTGCGCATCTTGATTATGCAACAAAGATTACCATACTAAAGACCTTTTTTTGCTATCAAGAAGGTCAAAAATCGTTCTACTGTAACACAGAATACATAGTATATTTATATAACATAAATTTTGTAGCCAAAACAACCTGTTTACCACAAATTTTTACGACCGTAAAGTTTCGTATTGCAAGATGTTGAATGCTCGAAATATTTTTAGTCGAAATTTGTTGTTTTACAACAAAAATTGAAGGTGTTCAAGTGCCGTTGTGCAGAGAGGATGGAGAGAATTCGAAATGTCATCATCTTTTGTAAAGTCGCTACAGTATAAAAGAAACGAATGGAGAGTTATTTTAACACTTTTTTCGTCATCCTCTCAACAATTCTAGCCCTCCAATTTCCCTACAACTTGTTTTTTCACCCACCATTACTACAATTTTGCAGTTGTTTTTGGCTTGTCAGCCTCATCTACTTCCTTATTAACTCCCTTCAAGTCGTGTTGATATCACTTTTTTTCCAATTTCATACTTGGACTGTCATTCAATGTCTTCGTATTTTATTTGCCCCATTTAATGCCGTTCCTCGCAATTAAAGCCCTCCGGGTCTTTTGTTTTTAATTGCACCATCCCCCAAAAAGAGATGGAAGGCCCTAATCGAATTCGACGCATCTGGACACAAGGTCTTGTTTCATTCACACATTCGTCTTTACTGGCCTCTTTTTATGATCTTTTCTGCTCATTGATGGGGGTTTTTGGGACTTTTTGTGGAAGGCCTGAAGAGTGTGAGGATTGTGAAGGTGCGATGTGCAAATGCGGTGATTTTTTTTGTTTTTCTTACTACGGAAAAAGGCCTTTTCGACCTCACTGCTGGAAATAACTGACAAGGGAAGTACCCCAAGTGCGACGCTCAGATTTTCTTTGAATTTTGCGCACACGTCAAGCATGAACTAAATATCAATTCCTGAAAGTTTTAGCTCGCGCTTTGCAAGCGCCATCGAGATATTG